ATAATAGAAACAGCGACCAATTCAGGAATCTCCCGGTTGGAGAGTTGTGACCGTGGTTAGTACTCACTTTCATCATTTTTTCTTTTTTGTGATCACAGTGGGTTATTGAATTTTGTTACTGTATTCCTACTTCGTTCATATTCTGCATTTCCATTATTCCTACAGTGTGACATAATCTACAGAGCAAGATTTGGCTTCCTTTTTGTCCGCACTTTTGTGATCTTTTTCAGGTAACATTTCAAGTGTATGAAGTCCTAATAACATAACAATCATGTAGCAGTTGTCTATGTTAACATTTTTTATCAACATGTTCTTTCACATTGCAGACAAGGTCCAACACGAATGTCGACCACTGAAGCAGAGGTCGGCATTGAGTTCAATCGAACTGCTCCGGCCGCTGAAATCCCACAGGCTAATGATGTTGCAGAGACCTTAGTAGAAGCTGTGAATAACCCCAACAGCACCTTCAACCTCTCTATTGATGCCGCTTCTGTCGCTGTAATTCGTAAGTACATAGGCCTGCATTTCATTGTAATTCTTCTCTAACAAGTAATCTGCCAGAGTATGTGAGTTGATTTGTGTGCTTTCCTTGCTTGTTTAACAAAGAACACAATGTAAATATAAATATCATGAAGTTCGCAGTGGCATTAGCAAGGCTAATTAAACTGTGGTTCACCGAAGTGATAGCCATGTTGTAATTTTTAGGTTTGATCAAGAGAAAGCCCTCTGGCTATTATTCATTATCTCCATCTTTATTTGTTTTTTACAGAAATAAACATGACATCAAATTCTACAACTGCACCTCCCACCTTGAATACTACAGCTAATGCAAGTATGAGTACTGCAACCAGAACTCCTCCAACCATCACAATCGCAGTGGTACCTGCATCACCAGCAGCTGTAACATCCGAGGCGATCACAACGAGGCGATTAACTTTCAGATCTGCTGGAGAGACATTTACCACTGACTTGCTGAATCCATCATCTGCAGCGTTTCAAAGAAGAGCCTCATTGATAACGTCAAATGTAAGTAATGGATGATACGTTGTTTTTTTCAAAAATCAAGGGAAGAAGTGACTTTATTGTGATTTTATTCCTGTTACTGAAATTATTTACAATAAATCATATTTTCATGCATTAAGAATAGGACAGATAGACAATCCGGTAGTTGTTGAAAGAAGGGTTATGGTGTTACAACTTACTTTTGTAGTTTGGAAAAAAACACAATCATCAAAAGAGAAATGCACAGCTTAAGAAAAAACAACCAAATTAAATATACAAATTCTTTTATTTAAACGATTTACTTGTATTTCTGCAGCTCATGCTGTTCTACCAAACAGCATTCGCTACTTTCCGGAACTTAACAGTGACTTCATTCAGGTAATTTTTCAATTTTCTTATGGCCGGATCTTAAGAGCTCTAATCATGAATGTTTACAAATTAAAAAATGTTACATTTTGTTTATTTAATTTGCAGTAATGGATCAATCATCAACAACATGGACGTTGCATTTGCATCCACTTCTGTTCCTGAAGGAACTCAAATTGGAAATGTTTTGGTTGAAGCAGCTTCAAACATCACAGCCTTCAATGTTGACCTCAACTCCATTGTTGTGAATGGCTCACGTAAGACATATTAAATAATGTTTTGCAAATCTTTTTTAGATTTGATGTTTTTTTATTTATTAAGGCTTCTGTCCCTGTAATTCGTAGGTATATAAGGCTGCATTTAATTGTAATGCTTTTGAGCCCTCTGGATACAGTTATTAATTTACTCCAATTTTATTCTTTTATTACAGTAATAAACATTCCATCAAATTCTACAACTGCACCTCCCACCTTGAATACTACAGCTAATGCAAGTATGAGTACTACAGCCAGAACTCCTCCAACCACCACAATCGCAGTGGTACCTGCATCACCAGCAGCTGTAACATCCGAGGCGGTCACAACGAGGCGATTGACTTTCAGATCTGCTGGAGAGACATTTACCACTGACTTGCTGAATCCATCATCTGCAGCGTTTCAAAGAAGAGCCTCGTTGATAACGTCAACAGTACGTAATGGATGAAACATTATTTTTCTAAAAATTAAGGGAAAAAGTGACATTTTATTCCTGGTACTGAAACTATTTACAATAAATTATGTTTTCATGCATTGAGAATAGGACAGATAAACGATCCAGTAGTTGTTGAAAAAAAGGTTATAGTGTTACAACTTGCTGTTGCAGTTTGGAAAAAAACAATCATCAAAAGTAAAATGCACAGCTTAAGAAAAAACAACCAAATTAAATTTACAAGTACCTTTATTTGAACAATTTACTTGTATTTCTGCAGCTGGTGCCGTTCTATCTAAGAGCATTCCCTACGTTCCGCTCCTTAACAGTGACCTCGTTCAGGTAATTTTTTATTTTATTATAACAGGATCTTAAGAGCACTGAACATGAATGTTTACAAATTAAGTCAATATTACATTTTGTTGTTTCATTTGCAGTAATGGATCAATCATCAACAACATGACCATTGTATTTTCATCAACTTCTGGTCCTGAAGGAACTCAGATTGGAAATGTTTTGGTTGAAGCAGCTTCAACCATCACAGCCTTCAATGTCGACCTCAACTCCATTGTTGTGGATGGCTCACGTAAGACATATTAAATAATGTTTTACAAATCTTTTTGGGATTTTGTGTTTTTCATTTGTTAAAACTTCTGTCACTGTAATTCTTAGGTATATAGGACTGCATTTAATTGTAATGCTTTTGAACACAAAGAAATATACCCCATGTCACTAACAAGTAATCTGCCAGAGTCTCTGAGTTGGTTTGTGTGGTTTCCTGATCCTTCTTTGGCAAATCGGTTGTTTGACAAAGAACACATAATCTAAATATGAATATCATGAAGTCCACAGTGGCATTAGCAAGAGTACTCAACCTTTGATTTACCAAAGTGACGTGTTGCAGGGGTAGAAAGGGTGCGCTGGGAACCGCAAGGTTGGCGGTTTGAGCCCCTGCTGCCCCATGTTGAGCAAGGCACCTAACTCCTAATTGCTCCCTGGGCAAAATGTAAACAGCCATGGGTTAAAAATGCAATGTAAGTCGCTCTGGATAAAAGCGTCAGCTAAGGGACCTGTACTGTAGTGTAATGTTCTAATGTTTGGGTTGGATCAAGAGAAAGCTCTCTGGCTATTATTCATTATCTCCATCTTTATTTGTTTTTTACAGAACCAAACATTACTTCAAGTTCTACAACTGCACCCTCGACTTTGAATACTGCAGCACCCACAACAGCAGCACCTGTAACATCTCAGGCGGTCACAACGAGGCGATTGATTTTCCGATCTGCTGGAGAGACATTTACCACTGACTTGCTGAATCCATCATCTGCACCATTTCAAAGAAGAGCCTCATTGATAACGTCAACAGTAAGTAATGGATGATACGTTGTTTTTTTCAAATTCGAGGGAAAAAGGGACATTTTATGTCTGTACTGAATCTATTTACAATAAATCATATTTTCATGCATTGAAAATAGAACAGATAAACAATCTGGTAGTTGCTCAAAAAATGGTTATGGTGTTACAACTTGCTATTGTAGTTTGTCATCAAATCATCAAAAGAAAAATGCACTGCTTAAGAAAAAACAACCAAATTAAATAGACAAGTACTTTTATTTGAACAATATACTTGTGTTTCTGCAGCTCGTGCCATTCTACCTAAGAGCATTCCCTACATTCCGCTCCTTAACAGTGACCTCATTCAGGTAATTTGTTAATTTTATGATCTTAAGAGCACTGATTATAATACACATGTATTAATACAAATTAAACAATATTACATTTTGTTATTGCATTTGCAGTAATGGATCAATCATCAACAACATGGACCTTGGATTTTCGTCAACTTCTGTTCCTAATGGCACTCAGATTGGAAATGTTTTGGTTGAAGCAGCTTCAACAATCACAGCCTTCAATGTTGACCTGAACTCCATTGTTGTGGATGGCTCACGTAAGACATATTAAATAATATCTTACAAATCTTTTTTACATTTTATGTTTTTTATTTGTAAAAGTAATATCTTGTTTTTTTTCTCATTCATTACAGAGGTTTCAAGTGGAGTAAGCCACAAGATCAGTCTCATCACTGCATCCTTCCTTGTACTGTTGTCATGGATACTGTCAAACCAGCAATAGTATCATCGCTGACTCCTGTTAGAAAAGCCCTGATTGTATGACTGCCATCACTGGCATGACAAATGACTTCTTGATTATTGTCCAAGGAACCTTGTACATCTTTGGATAAACATATCATCAAATGTGATTTAGCATTGACCGCACAGCATAATGACAGTGGAATAGATCTTTTGATCTGAACACGTTTGCGGCTGGAAATGTCCAGGATCATGGACCAAAAACAATATGTAGCCAATTTTAATAAGCCAGATGTCTTGCTCAGGGACACTTCAATATGGGGCAGCCGGGGCTCGAACCGCCAACCTTCCCAGCACCCCCTCTCTACCACAGCACCACGTCAACCCATATCAAATTGAATTAAATATTTGATTTAAAAAATGTGTTTAAAGCCTCTTCTTTTGTATTCTTTAAGATTTCTTGTTTTCTCTATTTTTGTCAGAACCTTTTTAACAATCATAACAACAAAATCTTGAATAATTAAAATCGTCTCTCGTAATGATTTGCCATTTCTGTCGTCAAAAAGCTAAAAGCCTTCTAAAAAATAAACTGACCATTTCTGGTAGGCACATTGCAAAATCAGTCAGGCAACACATGGTTAGATATAGAACAGTTTGTAAGGACATTCAAATTTACCCCCCTCAACCTTACAATTAATTAATATCACCTCCTCAAAAAAATTAACTCAGAGTTAGACTTATCTTAGCTTATTTATGTGAGAGATCTATTCACTTAAAGTAGCCCAGATAGCTACATTCATGCCACACCAGTGCAACACTTGTTGATTTATTTATTTAATTTTACCAATTGAACCCCACGGCCACTTATACACATAGATATATATTATTGTTATTTAATTTTCCCTGCTTTATGTTTTTCATCTCAAAAGGGTCACGCATGCACACCTACATGCACATACACGCACCATTCTCCGATACTCTGGCCATATGCTTGTTGGTTTGTTGCTAACTAATTTGTTATCCCCTTGTATCGTTCCTTAAAATCAAATCTAAATTATTTTTTCAACAGGACCATGGAAGTCACCTGATTAATTTTTGACTGGCTTTATTGAATGTATACATTACATCATTTCTGCCCTAATGAGTTTAGGAATTATGACAGTAGATAAAGGAAGAACCATGTTTTCGTACCTATTTACTCACAAGTATTCTGGTCAGATACAAAACATTTTATAAAAAGGACATTTACTTAATTTAAAAAGCAACAAAAGAGTAAATATCATGTTATCTATATTACTTACTATACTAATTAGAGTTTAATTTTTTTGCTATGTTTTTAAAAATTATATTCCATCCTACTCGCAATCATGCCCGAATAAAAGAAAAAAACAAACACTAATGTCAATTTGATATTTCCAATATCATAACTTTTTTCAAAGAGCAATAGTACAACGTGACAGCCTGAGGCTGGTCAAATGTGATAAACAGCTCAACTAAACATGAACACTAAGAATGCACGGCGAAATTCAACCTTTTTCTGTTTCTCCTCCTGCTTCTTCTGAAAAGCTAACTAACTTCCACGCTACTGGGAAGAAAACAAAAAAATATATACATATGTATATATATATATATATATATATATATATATATATATATATATATATATATATATATAGTAGAGGTGTAACGATTCATTCACTGAATCGATTAATTGATTTATATTCCTGCGATCCAACTGAATCGATCTGTGCTCCGCAAATCGGTATTCAGGACAACATATATCGATTACAAATCGATTGAAATGGTACATAATCGATTGTATCGATACTTGGAAACTGCACATTGGATTTAAGTACAAAAACGGTATGGATGCGTGTTTGTTTGTTTGTTTTTTAGCACTTTAAACACGTTGAACGTTACTGGATTCAGTCTGCCTGACTGTGACGTCTTCAGTACGAAGTGGCAGCCGCGCGAAACTCTGAACAACAACAAAACACAGCGTGGAGGAGACGACTGCGAGCAAGACATTTACAAACCAACTTATCGATCCAGCGTGCGGGAACATTTTGGCTTTTGCAAACACGGAGGTGTTCTAAATAAGTCTGTCGCTGTTTGTAGAATGTGTAGAAGCCAAATAAAAAACACGGAAACACGACAAATCTTTCCAGCCATCTACTAAGGCGCCGTGGGATTAAACAACGCCGACAGTCAGGCGCCTGTAGCAGCGTCACCGCTGCAGCAGCAGCAGGTAACTGCAGCTCTGCAGACACCTCAGGCCTCGCCAGCACAAAACTCAGCATCACAGTAACAATTGCCAAGTTTAGCTGTAAAGACATGCGACCCTACAATGTGGTTGAAAATCCGGGGTTCTGTGAATTGATCCAAACATTGTGTAATTATTGTGTAATGTTTACATTGAAAATGGCACTTGATTCAAATAAAAGGTTAATACATTTGCCATTAATTGTCGTTTGCTTGTTTATAATATCCATAATTAATTTAAACCTGATTTCCTTACAAGAAACAACAGGGATCTCAGAAACTTTGCCTGCACTGTCCAGTAAAGTTACTGAATTGATTTCAAGTCACTGAATCAAATCGAATCGTTCTAAATTAACCCAGATCGTCCATGAATCAAATCGGCAACCATGAATCGCGATTTGAATCGAATCGTTACACCCCTAATATATAGTGTAACACATTGCATGTTTCACAATAAGCCAAACTATCATGAATATATTTTTGGCCATTATCTTATTAGCAGATTATACAACACATTACACCTCATGCATCAGGTATGTCTTGTCTTGTAACTTTGATAAGTCCTCTAAGGTCATACAAGGTCATAGATTTGCTGAGTCATTGCTGTGGCTATATCTCTGCTGTTGAGTTGTAGGAAAATTGTCTTTAGTCTAATTAATGAAAACCTACAAGAACTTAACTAAGAGTATTGGCAATGGAAGACGAAACCAACCTGCAATGAACCAACAATTTAATCGAAGGATTGTTGACGGTTGATCACCAGGAAGTACAAGACAAAAGAAAACCACAGGGATAGTCTTTGTTAACAAAGACATCACTAAGAGTAAAAGCTAAGCATAGCATCATAGAATAGGGTGACAGATGATCACTGCGTATTCATTATTTGCGGCATAACATAAGCTGACGTTGAAAGAAACGAGTAAAATTGAAAAGAAACATTTAAATGAGTGAAAACACATAAACACAAATGAGAAAAACGTTTAGTTTTAGCTAAAATGTTCTGTTGTAACCTCCACTGCCAGTGTAGAAAGGATATAGAATCTTGTTTTCATGAAAAACTAATCCGTAGTTGTGTCTCAAAGTTAATCACAATCAATGGGCTAATATCAATTTGGTCAAAAGCTTCAATAAAATTGTCATCAATCGATGAATGCATTTGATGTTGTTTTTACAGGTCAAGTTGATTTAAATAGTTTTCTTCCTAAAAGTATGAGGAGTAAAAAAAAACTAAAAATGAAATCATATATAATACTTTCATACTTCATATTAGCCAGGATTATCATGGAACTGCTTCAGAAGTACATTGAAGGTCCTTTAAATATGTAACATTTAACGAGGTGATGACTATATTATGCAGCTGCTGTTTACTTGTTATTAAAATATGCTGCATTAGTTAAATTACGAAATCTAATCTAATTAACAGATGATATTCACTATGTACTAAATATAACCACTTCTTACCAAAAAATATTGATCTAATAAACCTTTTTCAGTCTATAAGTAGCTAAGCTTCAATGGGGATTATTGTTTTGTACTTTTGTCATATATTTTTATAAAATACTTTAGACATATTTTTTATTCTAACTTACTGTGACGTGGATGGAGCTTCCTTCTCCTTTTAAGTAAATGGAATGAGACTTGTTTTAATAGATCAAAAGAAGGAAACACTTAGCCAAGAATCCGAAAGAAATTATAGCTTACGATAATTAACTCGGGAGTGACGTCTTTGGCTTTCGATCGTGTCCCTATAAAAGACTGTAATTTATGTGATTTGTCACATCAAGTGTAAGGTTTCCAACATCCCAGGTGCAAAGTAAGCAAGAAAGGGGAATTCACAACCTTTCATCTCTGGTCTTCATCTGATAGATTCCTGTAAGTATATTTTTAAGTCAATAAACAGATTTCTGTATATTTATAGTCTCTGCATGTGTGTCAAAGAGAGAGATAAAGAGAAAGAGTTTGAATGTGTCTATACATACGTTCAGATTTTTTGAAGATATTTATGTATTTCATTGCTTTACTTTGATTGAAGATTACAGAAGAGATTTTCACTTATTACTAACATTTTTTTAACATTTCGTGGGATATTGTCTTTTTCTGATATTCATTTTTTAATCCAGTTCTATTAGTTTTTTTATCTCTTCATCACGTTTATGGAACAAGCGTTTTATTTTTTTCTTAGCATTGCACATGTATATATATTGACTACTTTAGCTACAAAACAATAACATATTATAAAATTCGGATTTTGTTTCCTGTTAAACGTGTGTTGTATTCCATACCTTGTCTCAAAGTATAGAATCTCTGTCACTCAGGATTAGAATATTTTGAGACACTGTTTTGAAAAATATATATGTTTCCCTTTGAATGTTGTGTAAGTTGAACGTACTGCTACAATGACCATAGTCATGTTCAAACTGAATACAGTATGCAACTTAAAAAGTTTCAAATACATGGAAGCTTTCATCATGTACCTATGTGACTGAACCCCTACGTTGATCAATTTGTAGGGATTCAAAACAAAAAAGATGGCTGTGGCACGGATTATATTAATCTTCCTGGTTATAATGGGTAAGCTAAGCATCAGATATGAATCACAATGACACAAGTAAAATGTAAGCTTTGTGTCGGTAATCATTTAATATTTCTTGAAATAGCAGTAACAAGTCCAGGTGCAACAACGACGACAACAGCTGCACCTACAACTGCAGCACCTACAACTGCTGCACCTACAACCGCAGCACCTACAACCGCTGCACCTACAACAGCTGCACCCACAACAGCTGCACCCACAACTGCTGCACCTACAACTGCTGCACCTACAACAGCTGCACCCACAACAGCTGCACCTACAACTGCTGCACCTACAACAGCTGCACCTACAACTGCAGCACCTACAACAGCTGCACCTACAACTGCTGCACCTACAACTGCAGCACCTACAACAGCTGCACCAACAACTGCTGCACCTACAACTGCAGCACCTACAACTGCTGCACCTACAACTGCAGCACCTACAACTGCTGCGCCTACAACTGCAGCGCCTACAACTGCTGCGCCTACAACAGCTGCACCTACAACTGCTGCACCTACAACAGCGGCACCCACAACAGCTGCACCCACAACAGCTGCACCTACAACTGCTGCACCTACAACTGCTGCGCCTACAACTGCTGCACCCACAACAGCTGCACCCACAACAGCTGCACCTACAACTGCAGCACCCACAACAGCTGCGCCTACAACAGCTGCACCTACAACTGCTGCACCTACAACAGCGGCACCCACAACAGCTGCACCCTGCATATAAATCACGTCTATAATTTGCTGAATTTATATTCTTTCACAATGCAGACCAGCTACGGCGGCAACACGAACGTCTAATACTGAAGCAGTGGTCGACATTGTGTTCACTCCGGATGCTGAAATCCCACAGGCTGCTGACGTAGCACAGACCTTGATAGACGCTGCGAATAACAACAGTCTCTCCGACCTCGGTGTTGATCCAGAGTCTGTCCGTGCAGTTTGTAAGTATATTGCCTGCATAAAATGGTAATGCTTTTGAACGCAATGAAATATACAGCTTGTCATTAATAATTAATCTAGTCAGTATTTGACAAATCGCTTATCCCAACCGCAGCACCTACAACAGCTGCACCTACAACTGCAGCACCCACAACAGCTGCACCTACAACTGCTGCACCTACCACTGCAGCACCTACAACAGCTGCACCTGTAACAACTGAGGCGGTCACAACAAGGCGACTGTCTTTCAGATCTGCTGGAGAGACATTTATCACTGACTTGCTAAATACATCATCTGCAGCGTTTCAAAGAAGAGCCTCATTGATAACGTCAAATGTAAGTAATGGATGGATGAAACATTATTTATTGTAAATGGAAAAAAAGTTTTTTTTATTCCTGGTGAGTTTTCAAAGAAAAAAATATTTACAGTCAGTTTTACATTCATTCATAGAAAATAGGAGAGATAAACAATCCACAAGTTATCAATAAACACCAAAAACATATATATCTTTTCATTTAAACAATTTACTTCTATTTCTGCAGCTCGAGCCGTTCTACCAAAGAGCATTTACTTCGTTCCGCTCCTTAACAGTGACTTCATTCAGGTAATTTGTTAATTTTATTGTGACCAGATATTAAGAGCACTGATCATCAATGTATTCCAAATAAATAATACTACATATTGTTGTTTCATTTGCAGTAATGGTTCAATCATCAACAACATGGACATTGGATTTGCATCAGCTTCTGTTCCTAATGGCACTCAGATTGGAAATGTTTTGATTCAAGCAGCTTCAAACATCACAGTCTTCAATGTTGACCTGAACTCCATTTTCGTGGATGGCTCACGTGAGACATATTAAACAATATCTCACAAATATTTTTTCCATTTTATGTTTTTTATTTGTAAAAGTAATATCATGTTTTCTTTTCTCATTCATTACAGAGGTTTCAAGTGGAGTAAGCCACAAGATCAGTCTCATCACTGCATCCTTCCTCGTACTGTCGTCATGGATACTGTCAAACCAGCAATAGTATCATCGCTGACTCCTGTTAGAAAAGCCCTGATTGTATGACTGCCATCACTGGCATGACAAATGACTTCTTGATTATTGAATGATATTTTTGTTCTAAATTTTACACTGTATTTTTGGTGTTTAAATTAATGCATGTCAAATTCATATTCAGGTTTTACTTGATATTACAGCATTACATAACACTCCATGACTGTATCAGAGAAAATATTGTACAGGGAAGATTTAAGGAATACACTGCAGCTCACCATGAGCTGAGTATCCCAATGATGAACAAATATATGGGCATAGATTTGTATTATGATATACATAATATTATATATGTGTAAAAGTAAAAAATATAAAATCTTTCTTCTGACTTCTTTTTACTGTCTTTTTGTTCATACAAACTGTATTCATGTAATATTCATAGCTCTATTCTGGGAGATTTCTTGTTTGTTCAACTTTTGTCAGAAACTACAATGAACCGTAATAAAAAATCTTAAATAATTAAAGTCGTCTCTTGTTTATTGTTTAGCAATGTTAAGGGAAAAGTGTAATAGAGATTATTCAATGTCGCACCACAGCTTTTGTTGGGCGAGTAATTCCAGTTTGCTAAGAAAAATAACTGTGAGGCGATCAACGTTGACTTCGCATTTTCGATTCTTCCGTCTATTCAAACGCTATTCAAAGTGAGAAATAAAAGCGCCGACGACGACGAATGAGAAAAAAATAATCAAAACGGGAATTATTTGCTTTCTGAAAAAATGAAAAAAAAGGAAGAAATAAACAAGCGTCGTGAATGAGAAAGAAAGAAGCAGCTTATTTGTAGGCTGCTGCTCATCGGCGGAAGCGGAAGTGGGAAACAAACGGATTAGTGTAATGCAACGCGCATCATCCCGGGCGCACCAGCCCTCACACCACCGTCCAAAATAAACCTCATGCAGTCTGAACAACGCTGCCTGCGACCCAGCCCGGATCGACTGGTCTTCGGCGAGGACTCGGGCTCGTTGTCCCGGACCGTCTTCCGCGCGTTTAACGTCGCGCGGGTCACCCGCCATCCGTGGAAGCGGGACATGGGAACAGATGGCGCATCCGAGCGGGCCTGCGGGGCTACTGACGCGGACTATTAGGGCCGAGATGCAGACGAGTACCGGCCAATGAAACAAAACAAAAAACAACAACAACGGGGGGATAAAGAAAAGAGGAGTTGTCGTTAGCTTTTGCACGGACGACCCCCCGCCGCGCGTTTGACCGAGAGCAATAAACAGATTGAACACATGGATGAGTGACGTCTAACATAATCCCCTCTCCTCCCCCCCACCGCCCACCCGCTAACGGACGTGTCCCTGTCTCGCTGAACAATGGTTGACAACCGCTACGCCACGGCTCTGGTCATCGCCGGCGTGCTGAGCGCGCTGGCCACCGTGTACCTGTCGGTGGCCGTCGGCACGCAGCACTGGTACCAGTACAGCAGCCCCGCCGTGCGCGGCGAGGCCAACGTGTCCGAGCTGCGCTCCCTGTACGAGGAGTTCATGGACGGGGAGTTCGACGAGAAGGCCTACAGCGACACTTTGTTCCGCCTCAACGGCACCGTGGGCCTGTGGTGGCGGTGCGTGCTCGCCCCCGCCGACGCCGCCGCCGACGCCGCGCACTGGCACAGAGAGCGAGGTATGTTTGGCGGAGCGTAAACGCGCGCATTACGCACGTAGGGGCTCCACTTTGTCGGGTGGTGCTATCATCGTGGCAAGTGTGGAGTAACTGTCTGTAAAGGGAGAGCGTTCGGCACCCTGATGCTGTCAGATCCGTCTCGTGACGCTATCAGCTGAACTCCGTCTACATAATTTAGTTGATAGTTGAGTTGATTATTATAATGGTAATAAACCATTCTTGTCTATTTTGAAAATTCTCTGGGTGTACAAGTTGGCCTTTCTTCAATAGCGTGTCCGCGAAAGATGCACACAACTATTGATGCATTTTGTCGTTGGCTCTGTGCGAACTGTTAATAACCCTTTTTGTTTTCAGATGCCAAGATGATGCTGGAGTGCCGCAGCTTCACTGTCTCTCAGCAGCTCACTCCCAAGTACAAAGAACCGGGCAACCACAACAGTGGAGAGGACTTGCTGCGCACCTGTGAGTCCCGTCACAAACACCCGTCTTAAAACTCGGTTTGCTCCGTCATATATAAGGCGAATGAAGACCGTAGTGACTGATGAACCCACGAACCCACACTTTTCTGTGTCTTCTTGCGTGTCTGCATAGATATGTGGAGGAGCCAATTTCTGCTGCCACTGGTGTCCTTGGGCCTGGTCGTGTTGGCAGGCCTCATCGGGTTCTGTGCCTGCCTCTGCCAAAGCCTCGCCCCTACACTCGGTGTCGGGATACTGCACCTCCTGGCCGGTAAGACCTGTTCGGCCGCAGTTAAAGCACTTTAAAGTAACCGGCAGTTTGTTTTGTATGGGTCTCCCAAATTGTTAAAAGGTAGATGCTTTACGCGATAGGATATAAATAAGTGCAAGGTTTTAACCCTTGCTGATGTCCAAGGTATTTCAGTTAGAGTCCCGTGGGCTTCTGTATGGTATCAACATTATGATTCTAACATTTACTAACCATAAACTGCAACTTAGCCTGATGAAAAAGTCATTCATTTCGCAGGCATTTTGTCATAAACCTTACGTGTTAAATAAATCAAAGATTTTACTTTATAATGGCACTTGATAAGAAGTCACAGGATCACCAACGTCAGTAGGATTTATCCTCTAGGGACCATGATTTTGGGCAGAAACTCTGACGGCAAATCATCTGATATTTAGACCAACAGCTAGTGTTGCATAAAGAACTCAACAATAGACTTGTGTGCACAGACTATTTTTTGGCCAAAAAAACCCCAACAACATCGTCATTTTGTGTCCCACAGGCCTCTGCACCTTAGCCACAGTGTGCTGCTACCTGGCCGGGATGGACCTGCTCCACAGGGTGTCGATGCTGCCCGATAAGGTGGACGGCTCTCTGGGCTGGTCCCTCTACTTGGCCCTCATTTCCTCGCCGCTGCACATGATGGCCGCTGCGCTGCTTGTGTGGGCGGCACGCAGCCACAGTCAGACCTACTACCGCATGAGCGCCTACCGGGTGGCGTAGTCTCGAGATTCAGCTCTGGGTCGCTGCCCCGTTGGAATATATGTATGCCTGACCCGTCATTAAGACACGTTTTATAATGGTCTCAGACGGACGGGTTAATCTGTTCGTTTTCCCTCTCTCGCCACCAAACCGGAAAGAATTTTCTGTTTGCCAGTTTTATATTACATATTACATTATGAAGCCACAGGGCAACATGCTCACAACTCAAAAACATGTCATCATTTTTTTTTTTAAGACAATGTTTTAATATTTAAATATTTTAGCAACTCCTCAATCAGTACAACAAAGGGTTGCATCAACGTCACCCTGCTTACAAAATGTTCAGCCGGTCCATGTACTCAAGGGTTTGAGTATTGAAGTCACAGACAGCGAAAGTCACAGACGGGTGTGGTGAAATTCCTCCTTTATTATACCTGTAAAAGCACTTGGCTGCACGGGTTTACTGGACACACCCGTTATGTGTTTTGTTGTTCCAGCAAGACGGAATGCCTGTAATTATTGTCAATAATTAGTTTCTTGTGACTGGTTTGCAAATGTTAGCGGAGACGACTATGGCGTATATAGTGTTATGTTACAAAAGGAGTAGACTCCCTTGTGGGTATTTATATATTAAGGGCCTTTGTTACGGTCAGATTATGTTTCTGTTTATGATTTGTTAAGTAAATTATATTTCTGTTTTCAAGCAGAGTTTTTTACATTTTGACATGTTTGGTCGGCTGTAGCAGGAAAGATCAAAAGATCGTTGTTTTTTTCACCATTTACTTTTATCACTTTTACGATGTGTTTCCTTTTGTGAATTCAGTTGTTGGTTGTTGTGTATTTGATTTATACAATTGTTTGTTTCATTTTAAAGACACGTTTACCACCATTCCAATTCAACAGGATTAAAGGTAAATATGTTTCCCTGTTAGACATTATGAATGTAGACTAAAGGCCATATTGTGATAAACGACACGATTACTCTGCACTTAAATTATTTTTTAACATATCCTCAATATTGTGGTCAGTTGTGAATTTCTACTCTTGGAAAACACAAGTGTCTCAAAAAGAAACAATTTTAGCAAAACAAACATTACCCTAAAAACTATGATCTATGTTTTCATATATATATATATGTCTGTGTAATGAAATGTGTGTGTCAGATTTTCTATATTCAGCCCTTTAATTGAAAACATCGTTCCATTCCTGAATCCAGTGTGACGTAAATATAAGTATGTCCATGTACGACTGTGCTATTGTGAATGTGTTGTTCACTCCCGTTCTGAGCTCAAACGGTTAATAAAAAGTACAACTAAATATCAAATGTGAGTGTAAGCGAGTTTCAATCAACCGCTGCCGTTTCAATAAAAGCTCTTTGTCAAATTTATTTCACAGTCACATCAGTCTCATCTAGTCGGGCCCATCCTCATTCCTCCTCCTCATTCCTCCTCCTCCTCCTCCATGTGGGCTTGTCGCTCTCGCTCCGTCTGCACGCGGATGGCTGGAACCATCACACGCCTCTTCCTCGCCAGCGACAGGGCGATGCCCTTCTCGTAATACGCGCATTCGTTGATGAAGAAAGGGTAGAGCGCTTCGTCTCCTTTGTACCTCAGAGTTTCCCCTGAGAAAGTCTGGAACAGCGGGTCCTCCGGGTGGAGCAGGCAGAAATCTTGGTCCTGGCGGGGGTTAAAAAAAACAATGTGCTGAAGGTTTGCCGTTGGCCGGACGAGCAAGCCGCCATTTGAACGCTTTGTGGCTTGGGACTTAAGGTTATGATGCTTAACAACAATCCAAGCATTAAACATTAAGAATTGTGTTTAGGTTTTTTGAACACAGAGATGAATGGATTACAGGCCTACGGTGTATATTAGAATAAGTTGTTTAACACCTCTAAATACCAGGGAGGGAACTAAGTATAGTTAATCCGATTACTTAACTTAATTACAATTACGTAAAACAAGAGTGCGTCAAAAAAAAATACATTTGATGAGTAATCTATTTCTGCCTTTCTAATCTTCAACACTGAGTGCTGATGATTACCATTTGGGTAAAAGTACAGTTTCATAACTTTAAATGGAGGCCCGACCTGTTTTATGATCACTGCTTTGTAAACAGGCATAATTGCTGGCGTAGGTGGGAGGAATTTTTATTGTTGAACAGGGACCGGCCACACAGCACGCACAGTTGAGTCATTTGTTTCTGTGTCCCGTGGCGTGAGGTAGTTTACATTTACATTTACATGGCGGGCATTATATTTGTCCGTCCTGCCTGTTTTTATTCAGACGTGAATGTTTTTTTTAAATCCGGCAGTGTCTTTGAATAGACCCTCCGCCTACGAGTGGCTTTCACACGGTACCTGGAGCTGAGGATGAATGGCCGCTCTGATCTTTCGAGTCTCCCTGTCTCTCGGGTAGTCGATGTGCTTGATCATGGTGAACACGTCCACGTATTCTCCTTCAAAAGTACTACCTGTGATTGAAAGAGCGGCTTAAAACACGTCCGCGAAAAAAAAGGGGGGGGGGGGGCTTGAAAAATGCAAAAAGTTTGGGAAGTCCAGTACCTGAGTTGAAGAAACAGACCCAATCGAGCATGTGCTGCACGCCAGCTTTCATTGCCGCGTAGACGTTGGACCTCACCACGCCGTGGGGCTGCGGCCCGATCTCCATGGCTGCAGAGAATGGATTTAAGACCATGAGTACGACCGGCGTCCGGTTGCTTTTTCGACGAACCGGCGTTATTGTGGACGTAGGAAAAGCTCACCAAAGCCGTGCTTCCCCACCGAATCGAGGGAATATGACTCTTTGTGGGGGACGTCGAAATGAATGTACCTCATGGGTATGTCTGGCATCTTCCTCTGAAAACGACAAGTCACTCTTAACCTCAGGTGTCCGAGTGTCTCAGTTCTGTGTTTTTTCGTTTAACGGTTAAACGCGCTGGGGTTGATTTTACCGGAGTGTGCGCTTGCCTGCAGGTGTCGAAATATGTGCAGGCAGATCCAGTCGCAGTCGGAGTAGGCGATGAGGCACAGGCCCATGTTGGCCGTGGTGTTGTGGAGGTCGCACACGAGCTCCACGGCGCCGGGACTTCCTTTGGGACCCAGCGTGGCGTTCAGTTCGCGGGATCTGATCATCTCGTAGGGCACAGCGCCCGGCAAGGGACCCCTGGGAGACAGAGAAACCATCCGACCTGATCAGCATCAGCACCATCATCAGCACCATCGTCGTCATCACGACGGGGGGGGGGGGGGGGGGGGCTGGAGAGAATCCCCTCCCTCTTATTCAGGGGGGCGTGGGGGAAACAACGGTTTAAGGCTTTTTCCATTTTATCGCGGGACTGTCACAAGGCTTCCGGGGTTGGGGAGAACCCTCAACACTGACGGGGGGGGGTCTTTCGGCTCCTTCTCCTCCTACTCTTCTTCTTTGCCAAAAATTCCTTCTCCCCTTAAGAGAGTCTCTCACCAAGATACACCCCGGAAAGCTCGTTGCCGTGGGTACCGCCGCACACGGCAACCCGGGACAACCTGGGCAAGCGCACCACCTCGTCCACCTCCATCTGAGCGAGACACAGGACGAGAGGTTGATGCAGGAAGCTTATTTCATTTTTTTTACTGTATGTTCCAGTTTCCAGTTCTGAGCGGCACATGCTCCGCTCACACACACACACGCGCACACACCAGTCAAGTCCTTTTTTGTTCTGCGTGGATCAATATTGAATGATGAAGAAGCACGCGTTACGATTCACTTACCTAAATTACCTCGTGTGTCCCGGAAACGGGACTGGAAACGGCAAAGGGTCAGTTGCTGCTTCAGCACTGAGATTAAAAGGTCTTTAAAGTCTCTGTAACTCGACGCGAAGCCGGGTCGGCTCCACGTTCACAAACCGGGACGGGTGGGACGGGGGGTGTTGAAATGTATGAAGAGGATTTGTTCTATGCGTCTTTCCCCGTCTCTCCCATCCAGTCCCTCTCCCCTGCCGATTACCCTCTCCCACCTCCTCCCAGGCTTTCATGCAGTTTCACCGACTCAGCATTTCCATCCCTCCCACTGTACAGGCTGTGGAGGCCTGTTGTGCAAACGTTTCACTTGTCCCCCACCCACTTCTTGTCCACTGCATTTTGCATTGAGAGAGAGAGCGTGGCCTGAGTGTGACGAGGCCTGCATCAGCCGCTAACTGTAAGCCCCCCCCCCCTCCCACAATTACCTCTGCCCCATGTATAGGATGGAATGTTCCAGTTTACCTTTCACAGATTTTAGCTCAAAATAAATCTGCTGGCATGACACAGCAGGAGAGGCGCCTGTGATGGAGGGGATGGAGGGAGGGGGGGGGCGTGAAAGAAACAGCTCCTCAAACCCAGAAACTAAACAGCAGCTGATTTAAAGAGAACCCTTAAATTGTAAATATGTTAAATAAACAGCCTTACCTGTATAAACACAATAAGCTAATAATGGTAGATAAACCAGCCATGACTTTTTAACCCACGCAGCTGTTACGATGCGTTGGGTGTCCCATCAGTGTCTTTTATCATTTTCATGGAATAGTTTGTGTTTGAACTAAAATGGTACAAATGAAACAGGATTTCAAGAACTAATTTGGTCACTAGTGAAAATTCAGTATATATTTATTTAAAATAAACTAAGAAACATACACAAAAAAATCCAACTGGAACACAAACTTGTTTTCATTGGGTTGTATTATTTTATTGACAGGATTTGTCGTCCCATCTTGAGCTCAACGTGACAGAAACTCACAAAAGAATTGATCTGGCAAGTTAATTTTTTTTCCTAACTTATTAAAATGTTGGAGCAAATTCAGTTGAAGAACAGTATGAAAAGCTATTTGTTTGACATTAAAGCTTTTGCCTATTACAGGATCTTTTTTCGGTGTTAATACAAAATACAATGTCAAATCTACCCTCCCAAGTATAGAAACTCCCTTTTTTCTGAAAATGAAGACCTTTTCCAATAAAATGACTGGAAACAAAATTACAATTAAAAAAAACTACCTTACATTTTTGTAAGCGCTCAGTTTCGAAATGTAGATGTCTATCTTTCCTAGCAAAAACAGGCCCACTTTTAAACATTTCGAAAATTACACGATTCAACAGATACAGTTCAAGGTAGTATATATGGTGTGAAGAATCCCAAGTATCTTGAGTGAATCTCTATACATTTATAAAACCAGTTATTTTCTATGCTTATTTATTCTTCATTTTAAGTACACTTGGAAAACAAAATCAAATTCTCTCACACACGCAATTTCCCATGTTTATGGGTTCAAAATGTACTTGCATATGTATGACCTCTTAAGCAGATAAACCAAGGTTTATTGTCACCACTGCATTTACTTTAAATGCTGGTTTTGCTTAGTTGTGTCTCTGAACACAAAGGGGGTAATTCCAATAATTGGTATTAAATAAAACTGCACTAATGTGAGATTTTCAGAGACCTGGAACAAGTGTTTGCAGCAACGATGTCTTTCTCCTGCTTCTTCAAAATGTGAAATTGTTGCACAAGAAACTTCTAAAAATGTCGTATTCACTCAGGTGTGATTTAAACACAAATTTAAACAGTTTGCTCTTCCTAAGGCAGAGAGAAAGGGCCCCATTGTCCAAATCAAGCTTATCATCATCATCATCATCATCACTTTAGTTTGGCCTTCGTGGTGGAAAACAATGAGTCTCTTCTACCTCCTATCCGTGATTATGGAGGTTCAATCCGTAATTCAGACTATGACTTATTTTTAAACACTGTACTGTACAGCGGCAGTGTGGTAAACTGACGGAGGAGCAGATATGCAGTCATACACACGAGCACACAAGAACCTTCACTTTGTTACATTAAGACACTAAATCAGAGACAGAAAAATGATATCCTCGCTAACGTCTTAAAGGCCACCAGTCGACATATTAATGAGATTATTTGAATCATATCTATACATAAATGTATATATTAATCAGTCTTAAACACCCCCCCCCCCACCCCCACATGGACACTATATTATCTCAGAGGGTGTTATCAGCACTTAAACCTGTGATCTGAGAGACTAAAAACAAAGTCCAACTAATGATTTGGAAGACACTGCACATTTCAATTCCTCCCCCCTCAGTCCGCCCCGAGTCAAAGCAGCACATTTATTTTTGTTTCAGTTCTCTCAAGTGTGTGACGGCCTCCAGGTGACAAGGAACCAAAATCAGATCCGGGTGGGACCAGACAGCAGCGACCATCCGGAAGATCTCTTAGAACAGAGATCCACCGGCGAGAGTCAACTATTCAAATTGGCAGTGAGGGGGGGGGGGGGGGGGGGGGGCACCAGGTGGCCTCGATGGATCGGTCGCGTCTCAGTCAATGCCGAGGTCAAAAAATTTCCGGGCATTCTTCCCAGCTTCCGCGGTCCTTGGCTTCCCAGTAGCCTCCCTTATAGATGTGGATCTGCTCACCTGTGATCGGGTCCTCGCTGCGCTCAAACCAAAGGGCCTTGTGGCTGTCATGAGGTGCGCCTGAAGGAAAGACAAAAAAAACAAAAGAAGAGATTTGTTAGCCGACAATAAAAAAACAAAACAAGAGGAGACAGAAGACTCCAAAATACAAATGACAGCGTGTGGAGGTGGCAGATACGCAGTACTTGCTTTTTAAGGACGGATCAGTAAGGGAATCCTCGTCGACAGCTTTTGGAAGAGAAAAGGGGGAATTGTAGAGTTTTATATTTCTTTTTTACCCCTTTATTTCCAAGATTGCCCCCCCCCCCCCCCCCCATGCATGGCAGAAAGGAACACAGACACAGCGGAAAACGCTCACGAGACACAAACCTTCTTCCGATTGGCTGGAGGTGCGTTGGCTGGCGGCCTCCCGCTCCCTCTCCCGCCGGACGCCGCGCTGCTTCTCCTCCAGCCGCTGCTTCTCCGAGTTGGCCTCGTCCCAGCGGCCGTCCTCCATCAGGCGCTGGTCGGGCCGGCGCCGGCTGTCGGTGGGGGCCACGCCCTCCTCGAGCTCGTTCAGGGTCAGCGCCAGGGAGGTAAAGTAGTACATGGTCTCTGCTCCCTCACTGATGGGTGGGATGGAGGAGGGGTGGAGGGCAGCGAGAGTCAGAAGGGTCCGAATGAACCTTAAATCAACGTGCACCTCCCTCTACCTACTTTTAACCTACTTTTTAAGTAGCTTTGCTTGTTGACGACATCATCTTTCACAATGCATGGCGGCGGATTTTGTGCGCTGCATACTGTATGACCTTTTGCCGGATCGTACTCACGGTAGAGGGTTCCTCTTCCAGACCTCTTTGGCTTTGAGCGTTTGATAGACGGTCTTCTGTTTGCCCTCGGAGCCGTTCTCCCCTCTGCTGCTCTGCATCACCCGGGAGAACTCCATCTTCTCGTCCCACGTGCCCGACAGCACGTAGTGAGCCTTGCCGTCTTTGTCCGTCACCACACCGGTCACCTGAAGGCAAAAGACACAGGAGAGACAAGCGAGGGGTCAACAGGGGGCAGCCAGGCATCGTGGGTCATTTAAGCCAAAGAGACCGGAGAGTGGGACAGGGTCCTTCCCCCCCCCCGCCCCCTCACCTTCCTGGCAACGTCCCTGGAGAAGTAGCTGTAAGGAGCGAACTTCAAGTGGCAGCGGTCGCCGGTGGTGTGGTTCACCACGTCTATCTCGCCCGACTGGCGGAGAGAAACAGAAAGAGGAGCGCGAGGAGGTTGGAAAGACGTGGCTGACACCGCAGAGACATTTTCAGACTGGTACAAAGTCTACATTTCTACTCAGAATGATGAGGTGGTGTGCAACACTTTTAAAAAGGATTTTGCATCAGTTTGTCTAATGCGTCGTGCAATGCAAGTTGCTACGCACTTAACGCCGCACACGCTGAGGTGCTCTATCCAAAATCAGAACCAATCAATAACAAGTAGAAGAAAAATGCTGTGCAGTTAGCCAGGTGTATAAAACACATAAATGGTGTAAAAGGTTTTATGTGTCATCTTCTTTTTAACTTTGTCGGTCTCACCTGATCGATCCACAGTTTCCCTACAATGATGTTGTGCACTGTGGTGGTAACTTTCTTCCATGTGTAATGATTGTTGCCCTTTTCAAAGATTGCGTGTATTGTGCCTGCGAGGAAGAGGAAAAGAAATGCAGACAAGAAAACAAACAAGTTTATTTTAACAAAACAAAAAAGGCGAGGCGGTTACACGTCGTATCAATCAGCGCAGGTCTGTGATCAGATCTCAGCCTCAACCTACGTCATGCACCACAAGACATGCATTGTTCACACCGTCCTTACCCAATGGCATGATGGAGAGGTATTTTCCCCTGAATTTGCTGGCAACGGTGATTTCCTGTCTCAGTGTCCAGCCGCGATTGGAAATCACATGGTGCGCCGCTGCAGGCGGGTGGTGACTCACCTGGGACAAAAGGTTCAGGGCATGTAAGCACATGCAGGCACGACTGTTTTTTTAAAAATAGAGCCCGCCACATTGGAAAAGCCTTTGAGCAAACAGTCTAGAGTAGGAGGAATCACATCTCAACGGCCCATCAGCATCTTTGTCTGCAGATCAAGTGAACAACATTCTTTGTTTCGGTTCCACTTCCTCGACGCGTCACTGCCCCCCCCCTCACCTGCTCGCAGAGGGAGCGGTAGCCGCTCTCTCTCCGGCGGTCCAGCTCGTACGTCTCGCCCAGCAGCGGGTTGAAGGGTTTGCCCGTGCGGTAGACGGTGGTCGAGTAGGAGGACACGGAGAAGGCGGCCACGTAGCACATTTGCTCCAGCGAGCTCTGGCACTTGGAGCCTTTATCCAGCAGCTCGTGGTACTCCAGGTCCTCCGACAAGCGCTGCAGCATGGAGATGGGCTCGTTGAAGTTTACCTGCAAAGCACCGTGGCCCGGGAATGAATCCGTGTTAGCGTTCCCTCGAATGCAAAACGTGCGGAGCGCTCAGTTTCGAAATGTAGATGTCTATCTTTCCTAGCAAAAACAGGCCCACTTTTAAACATTTAGAAAATTACACGATTCAACAGATACAGTTCAAGGTAGTATATATGGTGTGAAGAATCCCAAGTATCTTGACAATAAACATACCGCGCGGTCCAACGTTCTATCAACAACCTGTTTGTAGAAGGAGTACATTGACGTATTGTATTATGGACATTGTGTTATCATTTAGGTCGAGTTGGGCCGGTGTTTGTGTCACGACGCGGAACATTAGGTGCGGTATGTTTGGACGACAATGGCTTTGGGTGGGTCCGTACTGAAAAAAGAAGAGACGAGACAGTGAGCTACAAATAACGATAAGATAAGATGATGGTTGGAGGATGTTGCGTGTCTTGTGAAATACTTTTGGCTTTTCATGTTCGATTGAATCGGTGTTCATTTTTTTAAAAGGCGTGTTGGTTTAACGCTGCCGAATTGAAAGGACTGCGAAAACAAAGCAATCTGTTAAAAGATCCCAGATATAAATCTACCCGCAAATCTTTCGAGGGCTACAACTCCTTTGTATCGGTCATCTCGTTTTATCTGTGAATACATCTAAATAAAGAATGGATGACTCCCCAGCGTTGACAAACACGCACTCTAGAGCAGCCAGCTGGTGCCAGAAGGTCACAATGTACTGACACATCCGTCTCAGGAATTCGGCCTGTCAAACACTGAAGGAGCAGCCAATTTGCAGGAAAATGGAACTGGTTCGTTACGAAACTTTCTGTAATTCACATTTGATGTGGCGTAATGTCCCGGGACAATACTCACAGGCATCGGGATCTTTGACAGCTCTTTGCCGATGCAGTTCTTCATGATACTCCACAGGTTGAGAGAGTAGTTGGGTTTGTCTGAAATCTTTGTCCGCCTCTTCCTCAGCGGCACCAACTCCTGCGAGGGGGACTCCTGGTTCATTGCTAAAGGCTCCTCGTTAAGCTGAAAGGGGGACGATGGCGTTAATAAAAGGACACGTCACACTATTCACGGAAGTAATAAGGCTCTCGAAACACATCTGCTGTTGTCGTTTTTTAAACATGTTTGCAACCTTTATTCGTAGCACTAAATGCTTTTAACAAGGTGGAAAAACTCAAGAGGCCAGAACGAAACCCACCGATTGGTCATCAGGACACATTTCACTGTTGAACCCGCTGACATTACTGCTCGACCTTCTGTAAAGAGATTTAAAACAAAGAACCGGTGAGTGTTCAAGCTGTTTGAGGTTACATCTACCTTCAGATTCCACAACAAGGAAGTGAGGCACAAACTGGTTCAACGGACACGGAACCTTTGATAAGGGAGTGGTAGAGGCAACAACCCAGCTGGCTTGAACCCATCTAAGGCCAGCAGCTTTTACGAGGAAGGAATTAAATAGCTTGAAATAATTTCCGTGTGTCACCATTTCCTGTAAACAGGACGAGGGACGGGACACTGACTTGTGGAACTGAGGATCTGCCGGAACAGTGATAAACTCAGGCGCTTCCTCCATGGCGTCAAAAAACTCGTTGTCGTCGTCGTCGCTGGCCTCCCCTTTCCCCGGCCCGGAAGCACCTGAGCAGGAAAAAAAAAAAAAAAAAAAGAGAACAGAACTGTCAGTCCCCCGTCAGTGTCTGACCATGTCCTCGCTGTTCCACAGTCTTACTTTGATTGTCTGCGGTGGCGTTGGCCTGAGACGCCCCTCTGAACGCCCTCTCCAGGTGGTTGTGCTGCTTGGCCAGCTGCTCTAAAGTCTCCTCCAGCCTGACTCGCTGGTCCCGCTCCGCTTGAAGGGCCTTCTGCCATCGCCTGCTATGAGCCTGCGCTAGTGCCAGAAAGTCTCGGCACGCCTGGAGGTGGCGAAAACATCCAACGTGGTCAAACTAGAGCTTTGCAAACGCTGCATTCAAGTGAGGACCGCTGTGAGCGGTGTGCGCACAGTGCAGATTGCATGCGAGTGTAGATTTAACGAGGCGCCTTTTCTCGTTTACACGTTACACGTGGACAAGACCTCCACCTACGTTAATCATGGCATTGGAGGTGATGCGGAACAGCGTAGCCCTCTCCGTCACCTGACGGATCTTATCCCCGGCCTCGCCAGTCATACGCAAGCTGTCCAGTTCGGATAAAGACCTGCAATACGTATTAAAATGTCATTAAGGACTCGGGACAATACATCATCATAAAACAAGCTGCCAGCCTGAGATTCAATGGGTTTATTGTCAAATAACTGTGAATGTTAAAAGCAACTGTGAGATGATATTGTGGAGTTTTGAAATGGAGCCTTCATGTCAGACATTAGATTGTGTATGTTTGAGATGTATGTGTCCACTTATGTGGAAAGAAAAGATGTGACTGTTTTCCGGGCCCCAGGACGCAAGAGGGAAGATCAGAGAGAGTGAGAGAGCTGGAGAGCGATCAACGGTTAAAGCCTGACCTCTGGAGGGCAGAGCCGTGCTTTGAAATGAGATCGTTGCAGGTGCTGAGATCCTCCACCTTGCTGCCTAGTGTTCTGAGAGCCGACTGAACTTCGGAATTCTGCGACCCGCCACCTTGTCCGGGTGCCGTCGGCGGGGAAGATGGGGAAAAGTCATCCCCAGAGTCATCTGCTCACGATCAAAGCAAGAGGAAAGCGAAAAAAAAATAAAAACACGCATCAGGATTAAAGCGCTTGCACGAGACCTTTTGTTTTTGCATTTTTTTGGTCGTCTGCCCGTGTGGACGTCCTACCGGACTCCGCCTGCATGCGCGCTGCCTTGGCTTTGGCCAGTTCCAAGGCCGTGATCCAGCGCTGGCGCTCCACTTCGCAGCTGGCCTTCAGGTGATAGGTCTGTGCTCCACCGTTGGAGATGACAAAGTTGCAGGCGTCGTCCACGGAGATGGTTGCTGTGGCCAGGTTGATTGTGCCTCGACACGTGTGGCCCATCTCTGCTTGGGTCCTGACAGTCACGAGGTCGGTCGATTTGACATTCCGGGGGGGAAAGCGGGGAAAGAAAAAATTGAGATTTTTCACAGATTAAAGTTGGGAGATTTCTCTGGTGACGCCTACCTGTAGTAAGACAAGAGCCCATTGCTCAGGACAAACCACCTGCGCTGATAACCCTTGATGTAATTCGTCCACTTGAACACCCATCCTTTGTACGTGTCGCCAGCCGGAGTGGGAGTGGGGGTCTTGGACTCCGACATCACAGCCCCCCAAAATCAAGAGACGGATTTTAAGAACCTTGAAGGGAGATTAAGAAGGTTACAAATCTTATTTGAAATGACGGGGCTTCTGTTTGTGTTTTATGGCTGAATTTATTAAACAATAAGCAGGCTGCCACTAAATTAATCAGCAACTATTTTGTTAATTGACTCATCGTTCAATTTATGTGAATCCATTATTGATTGACTTGCATTAATACGAACTCATCTCAGCATTTAATTTTACATAACAGGACTAAAATTCTGGGGATTGATATTGATCGTTCAGTGTGGTTTGAAAGATAAATGATTGACAATGGAATCAATACAGATCCACTGACATGTTTTACAAAAGAAAAAAAAACTTGTTCAATAAAAGAGGGACTGCTTCATCATTATACCAATCTGTGTGATTATGTCTTCTTAATTGTCTGTGATCTCAGATGCACATTATCAACACACAGTAGCCGATATAGTTTTTAAAAATTGGGATTCTAACGATATAACCAGGGACATGTGACAGTTGTGCAATATACGGAAGAACACAGACGATAACAACAGAAACTTGATAAAACTCCAAACACACTGAAGAAGGGTGCCACCGTAGGGAGGCTAACCGACGTTAGCTCCGGTTAGGCCAGTGGGAGTCACGGCACCAGGAGCTCATAGAGCAACTTTAAGAAACAGCAACGTGTCGTGTTTTCTCGAAGTTAACCAGCTGACGTGCAGAATTTACAACGTGGTAAAAAGTAAAGACAGGCCGCCTGAACACCCGTTAGCTCAGTAGCTCGCCGTCAAGCTCACGGGCGGATAACTGTTTACCTTGACGTGTCCGAAATGTGAGATCAGGCAACCAGACACCCGGTGAAGTCACAGCTAACTTTGACACCCATACGCTACTGTACCTAGCTAGCTGACGAGGCTAACTGACCAGCACAGAACAGCAAACGATGGAAGCGGTTAAACCACAAGAGGACAACCGCAGCGTGGTGGATTTAAAATAGGGTGACGCCAGCCAGTTTCATTAGTAGCCCTCAATAATAGTGTGTATAGTGTTCATTCTACAGCTGCGTACGCGGGTGAGGATCTAAAGCTAGCTAGCTACACCTAACTAGCCTAACGGTAGCTTGTTGGTTACACCCGGTGCAACATAATTTGGACTCGTCCGGAAACAGCGAGCTGTGCTACATTGTATCCCCAATTAGTGTGGCGACAGCGGCTTTCTGCTTTCAAAGTAAACCCATGTTGTTGGTGTTGTTTCCCACGTAAAAACACGTCGTAATATTCGTCTAAGTCAAAGGTGATCGAAATATTATAAGCATATTCATACATGCATTCATTTAAGCGTTATTGTAATGATGGATCAGCCGTAAATTGACTGATAATTGTTCTTGTAGTGCACTCAGTTATTTTTATAATGGTAAAATACTTTATTTTGAAGGATATAATCGGAAAGAAACTTGATTGAATCTTGCTAGTTTTACACATTCAATGTATTGTTTTTTACTACTAACTAGCATGCTTGCTTCACATTTACGTCAGCTGACGTTATGTAATGCCAATTGATCGAAATTGAAATAAATGTAAACCACTGTATTTAGAGCCCATTCACTTCGGATAAGACCGTGTATTAATGAGTTCACTTTTCTGGATAGGCTATATAAACGTTTGAGCAAACTGGCTATCCACTTTTCGTGGATCCGATACAAAATACAAATATTGTCTTTACACATAAAGAACTGCAGTGTGGAAATGTGCGTGTTTTCGGTAGTACTTGGCAAAAAAGACGACTCCGGTGGGACTCGAACCCACAACCTTTGAATCCCTTCGGATCAACCCTAGAAGTCCAATGCGCTATCCATTGCGCCACGGAGCCACTTGTTGCTTGTCCCTGGCAAGTAAGCATTTACACTAAACTATTGGCCAACTGCTTCCATGGTTGTATTGTGATTATGATTTTTAACTAGCACAGTACATGTGCATTCGTAAAAGGTGTATGAAGGTGTATTTGTGTCTTCATTACTCAGACAAAAAATAATTTTTGAGAGCTAATTTCTCACATTGCAATCAAAAAGCACTTTTGTAAATATATGCTCTCAAAACAAAAATCTGCGAGCCGAGTTTTCTTGGAGTAGGCGGGGCTACATTGACCGGGAGTTTCTATTGGTGGGTTCGACTTGCCTCTCGGCTCACCAACAGGAGGTCAGCGACATGTATGACGTGGAGGTCAGTTTAGTGTTTTTGTTGATATCGTTGTGCTTCTAACTATATTAAATGTAATAAAGAAGTTTCCGTGTTGATATCTTGTCCATGAATTATAATAGGAAAAACTGAAGCAGTCGGTCCTTGATAAAAAAGTTGTTATGGAGATTTTTTAACGGACTTTGTACAACTAGAACTATAAACGCGCATGGACTATTTCACAAGATGATGATTTGGTGTTAGTTTAAGAGGTGACATTTGGCCCTGTTTCAATACCTTCTGGATCTGCTTCATCCTCTTATGAACTGCTCTCAGAAGGTAGACTACTTTCAACATTTCTTTTTTAAATTAGCCAAATAGGATGTTTAAGTTAGTGCCTGTAGCTTTAGTATAAGTCCGTATTACATATGTCCGCATGTAGAAAGAAGAGTTTAAACTTTTTACAGCAAGGTAGGTGTTATCAGGTGGGTATATACAGATATTGTTACATACATTAGTGTTTATGAATATTTGTGTACATTTTGCTGTTACATGATTCGTACTGGTTAGCAGGAACCCCAACAGTTACATTTTAGAAGCTTTATTTGCATTTTAGCTGTTGTAAATGACTATATGGAATCGTTTACATTTTTGAGGCATGTATGTGATCTCAAATACACTTTCGCTTTAAATCAGCCTGCTTTCAGCCATACCTTTTGTGTATCCCGGTGTACTGCTCACTTTCCGCCACCAGGTGGTGCGTTTGGCCGAATGTTTCAAGCAGAGGTAGTTTTTAATAACTTCAAATTTGCAATACCTTCACTTAACAAAAGTAATGCATGTAATCATAATCCAATAATACGTGTGACGATGACATAGGTCGTTCTGCTGCATGTGGAGTACTTTCACTTGCATTTCGCAGCTAATATTTTTGTATTTCTAATTAATTGAAGTAAATCATTGTTGATTCATTTTCATTCATTTTATTTATCAAATAGATGCAGAGGGGTTAGGCCTAGGAGAAGCTATTTTTATTCAACCAGTAAATTTACTTATTAGTGTCCACCCCTATGGAAAGCCTGCAAACCTGAACTAAAGACCTTGTGATGATCAAGAAGACAAATACTAATATGAGGATTATTACAATTTATTTACATTACTCTAGTTCAGATAATCCTGGATGTTAAAAGTTGTACATTTTGAATGTGAAGCTGTTGTAATAACTAATTAATTATATTAGTTATTACAACAGCTTCACATTCAAAATGGAATTGGAAGATGAAGAAAATATGAACACAAAAACCTCCATACTTGAAGCGTAAAAAAGACAAAATATGTGATGTAATGTCTTGATCATGATTAATAAAGTGAGAAGAAAATCAAGAGCACAGAAACATCTGAACCTGTACATAAAGTAAGTAAAATACTAGGTTGTATGTTTTAAATACCTTAAACATGCATTTAAATGTTAATACTTTTGTACTACTAATTAAATTCTAATGAAAAATTAAATTTTTCCCAATGATGTATTCCTACATTTAGTAAAGAAATATACTTTTTTTGCCACAGGTGGGACATAAGCTGTGTTTCCTTACTCACTATACATACTATACTGTGTGGGCAATGTGCTGTCAGCCTGCCCGGTCAAAGCATCGGTCAGGCCTCACCAAGATGGAGTAGAGCGAGGAGTTGGTGGCTGCGTGCTCGGGATCTTTTCCCGTACATTGCTGATTCCTCGTGGCAATTCTCAACACTTATTAAAGTCCCCACGTCAACAACCTGGTATACGCTCACATGTGTGCACTGCGCGGGTAAACGGAGGTAAATGTCGTCAGGTGATTGGGGGGTAATTCTTGGTTAATGCAGCGTTCGTTCTTCGCGCTTCCGGTCCAGTGGACAGGGACCCGGATGTAGAGGCGGACGGTGTTCCTCTTGACGCTCCTGCGTGGTCTTTGATTGATCCCGCCAGCACCGGAAGTGTCCGGGATCCTGCTCTCTCTCTCTCGGCTGCGCTACGCAAATTGTTCCTCCGCAGAAGAAGACAGCGTACATTTGCGTGCCGCCCAGCCTGCGCCACTTCTCCCGACTCCCGCTTCTCTTCTTTCGGCTTCGCTGTGCGTCGTTTAATGAAACGATAGCGCCGCATCACCACGGAGCATGCGCAGTCCGGACGCGTAATTACTGACGAACTAACACGAGAATAGCTGGATTTTGTTGTTGTTGGCTTTTTTCTCTCTAATGGACGTGTTTTGTTGTGGGTCTACGCCATAAACGCGAACGCCTCCCCGGACGCAGTAGAGGATTAGGTTACTGCTGGTGGATTATTTTATTGGCCTCCTCCTGTCACGCCCGAGTCCATTAGTGATCCTTTTTTGTTGTTTGCAATTAGGAGAAGTCCAAAGCCAGGTAGGCTATTGTACTCGATGACAATGACCCCGTCGTTTCTTTAAACTGGCCAAACTGTATGCGCAATAGAACCAATAACGGGAAATGTGAATATTTTGTAACAATGTAGCGGGGAATTACCCCCCCCGCCCTTTTTCTACTCCCCCCTGCTGTTTAACAGGAGGACGCAGTTTCATGGCCTAACACACATCTTGCACGGATGCAATGCGGCCGCTACACAAAGCTGCGTGCGTTTGGCACACCAGCCAAAAAATGTGTTTTGACAACAGTGAATCATTAGCTCGATGGCATGTGCAGTTCCTGCATGGATCAGCAGCCCCCCCCCCTCGGTGCCACGGCATGTTTTGGTTTCAGGCGGATCGTGTCCTTTTGTCCGACGATTCTCATGCTGCTTTGACCTTTTTCGTTCCTCCCTCTCTAGCTGACAGCCGTCTCTTTTAAATATTGGCATAATTTAGGTGTTTTTTGTTTCCGAGTTGAACTTCTTTGCTGTTCATCAAACACCAAAAGTAAAAAAAAAAAAAAAAAAAGGCCATAGTTCAGTTACACAAGAACAAAAAAGAAAAAACATCTGTTTATTATTGAGTCCTGCGATGTGCTTTAAACTAACACGTTTGCAGAAAAGCAGAAGTCAAAAAGAAATGCTGCAGGCCAAATAATTGTTGGTCAACTTGGTCCCAACATGTTTATTTTAAAGCAATATTTTTTTTTTCTTTAAGTGGTTGTGTGGTTATTACAGACAATTAAACCGCCAGCAACTCGGGTCCCAAGGGAACCGGAGAATGTTATTCGAGCTTTTGATTAACCAACATTATTGGGGATGAATTCAAAGTTGTTGTGTTCATGTCTTCGGGCCGAATGCGCCACGTGACTCTTCATGTTCCCGCCTCCCGATCCACAGACATGTCTTTCCGGCGCGGTGTGGTCCGCCAGAGCAAGTTCCGCCACGTCTTCGCGCAGGCGTGGAAAGCCGAGCACTGCATCGACGACGTCAGGGTGTCCCGCGTGACGTGGGACAGCGGCCTCTGCGCCGTCAACCCCAAATTCATCGCCGTCATCATCGAGGCCGGCGGAGGGGGGTCCTTCCTCGTCGTCCCCATCAGCAAGGTTCAGCCGCCCCGTATATATGTATATTTGTACAACGCTTTCATCTCCTTTCCTGTCTTCCACTCTGCTGCTTAAAGCCTCTGTCGCCATGCCAACGCAGCTTCACGTCGCCGTGTTCGTTTCCTCCCACAGAGCGGCCGGATCGATCAGGCGTGTCCCACGGTGTGCGGACACGCAGCACCGGTGCTGGAAATCCAGTGGTCTCCTCATGACGACAACATCATTGCAAGTGCCTCCGAGGACTGCACAGTGAAGGCAAGTCTGGCGGGGGTTTTGTTTTGTATCCCTGACCTGACACAGAAAAGTGTGATTGGTAATATGCTGACTAGCTATAACTCACAGGGTTTTTGATGAGGGCAGAAATCAGCAAGAGAGAAAGAAGGTTTCCCTGAACTAAAGGCTGTTACGTGCGTGACATAAATCCGCAGAAGCTGTCGCGCGCCGGAATGCGCCGCATTCACAAATCTGTGTGTGCGCGCTGTGTTTGAAGGTTTGGCAGATCCCAGACGGAGGCCTGACGAGCCCGATGACTGAGGCCATTGTGATCCTGGAGGGACACAGCAAGCGGGTGGGAATCCTGGCCTGGCACCCGACCGCCTTCAATATCCTTTTGACTGCAGGTAACGTCACCCGTCGCCTCCTGGGGGCCCTCGTTTGGACGCTGGAGGGAACAATCTGGGATTTTTTGCATAATTTGCATAAGTTGTGCTGGCGAGTCCACGTCCGAGGAAGAAGAGTTTTCTATTTCAAATGTAAATCAACTTTGCCCCACAACACATGTTGGCAAATATTGGCAATAACTATGACAACATGATTTAGGTTATGTTGATTTCCCCCCACGGCTAAACTCACATTCCCCCAGAGAGAATAGATAGACGGATGTATTTCAAGGATTGTTGTGCCGGCTTGTTGCTTTCTTTTCGAACACAAAGACATTTGGGGATAAAGGATCCGCACGGAAGAGACGCAAAGTCACAAGACGGCGAATCTCTCTAAATCTACATTCCTGCAGTAACGCACTTAAAGACCCGGCGCGTCCCGTGTCCTCCTCCCTCTCCCCAGGCTGCGATAATGTGATCTGCGTGTGGAACGTGGGCACGGGGGAGCTGCTGTACCAGCTGAGCGACGCCCACCCCGACCTCATTTACAGCGTCGGCTGGAACAAGGACGGCAGCGCCGTCTGCACCGTCTGCAAGGACAAGGCTCTGCGTGTCATCGACCCGCGACGGGGCACCGTCCTCAAGGTCACCTCGCGTTCCCGCGCCGGCACAAAGGCGCCGTCGCGCTCGGCTACGTCGATGCTCTGTTGTTTCCCCGTTAGCCCCATGGGAGTTTGTTGTTGTTGTTCCTCCAGGTGAGGGAGAAGGTCCACGACGGCACCAGGCCGATGAGAGCCGTGTTCCTCTCGGACGGGAAGATCCTCACCACGGGCTTCAGCCGCATGAGCGAGCGGCAGATGGCCCTGTGGGATCCGGTGAGTCTAGTGTACCATGTATGCGGTGGCGTTTATGGGGGATGTAGCTGGTGTGTTAAGGTTTGTCTGAGTAAACAGCGGTCAGAGCTCGTCGAAACCAGCGGATATCCTTCAAAATCGGTGTGTTTTTTTTAAAATTTACACAGATTGAGAAAATGATTAGAGCAGTTTTGAATTGTCATACTTGTGGTCGAGGCGACAACAGGAACCGTGAGGTCACGCTGACCTTTTGAACCCCCCAAAAAATTCAGTCAAATCTTGAGCCCAGAGAACTTTTCCTGTGATCTCGCATTCCCAACGATGGGACCGAAAGACATGCGTTAAGTCTCCATTGTCCCGCGGTCAGTGGAATGTGCGTATTGTGCGCATGCAATCACAGTTTTCGTTTTGCTATCTTCCAACAGAAGGATCTCTCTGAGCCGATGGCCGTGCAGGAGATGGATACGAGCAACGGGGTCCTGTTACCCTTCTACGACCCGGACACAAACATGGTCTACCTGTGTGGAAAGGTAGGACCCAAAGGACCGTGTTAACGCATCCATTCCCAAATCCCGTTTGTCTCCGTGGTCTCAATTTATGTGCTGGCTTTCAGGGGGACTGCACCATCCGGTATTTCGAAGTGACGGACGAATCCCCGTATGTTCACTTCCTCAGCTTGTACAGCAGCAAGGAGCCCCAGAGGGGGGGCGGCTTTCTCGGTAAAAGAGGCGTCGACGTCAACAAGTGTGAAATTGCCAGGTGAATCTGTTTGGTCGTTTCGGCCTCGACGTTCTTTTTCACTGGTTAATATTTGGAAATGTCATCATTCAGACACAAAACAACAGCAACTGTATCCTATTTGTTGTCAGTCTGTCCAAACCTCATGTTTATTAATCCGCAGCTGAGAATAATCCCCGACAAATGCAGCATTTACTCCCGTTTGAGGAATGTTTGCTTTAAAACTACAGTGAACAGCTTCAATATGACGTTACTGAGCCTTCACTTAAAACTTAAGTATATTTCTAAGGTACGATTGGTCTGGAAGCTTCGTCCCAGAGTTGGACAAAGCATTTAAATGCATGGCTTCCTGTAGACTGGGCCGGCCTCATGCCTTTTAGTGTGATTACTAACGTCCTGGTCCTCTGTAGGTTCTACAAACTGCACGAGAGGAAAGTGGAACCCATCTCTATGACCGTCCCACGGAAGGTAAGCCGCCATTTCACCCGACTTATTCTTTGAAAATGAAGTGAAAGCAGCATTTGCCCCGGCCGGCGGGTCGACCCATGACCTGCGTGCTAAGCGTAAGCGCCACTTCTGCTCCCCGGCACCTCGGCAGTCGGACCTGTTCCAGGGCGACCTCTACCCGGACACGGCCGGCTCCGAGCCGGCGCTCCTGGCCGACGAGTGGATCGCCGGGCAGGACGCGGCGCCCCTGCTGGTCTCCCTGAGCGGCGGCTACTCGGCCCCTCCGTCCAAGCACAGGGACACCCTGCGGAGCAAACCCAAGCTGGTCTCGCAGGACTCCGGCGGCGGGGCTGCGCCTCCGGCCGGCAACGCAGCGGCGTCTTCCTTCGTTTCCGCCACCAGGGAGCCGGAGGACGAGGCGGCTGCGCCCCGGGTAGCCGCAAGGGAGACGGACGGAAACGCCGAGAGGCCGAAGAGAGAGGCGAGTGGACGGACCGAGATACGTTGACCCCCCCCTTCCCCGGGTTGTTTTTTCTGACTCCTTCTCCTTCTTTCAGGAGGAGCTGCTGAACGAGCTGCTGGCGGAGATGAAGGCGTTGCGCGCCGTCGTCGTGGCGCAGAGCCAGAGGATAGAGGTGCTGGAGAGGCAGCTGGCCCGGATCGAGGACGGGGACGTGTGAGCGCGGCGGCGGGGAGCCACTGCATTCGGAGGGGCGCACTCGCTGAATCCACAGACTTTACCCTTACAAGAATCAACGGTCCCTTTTCTTGGGCTGTGGGAGGGGAGAAATGTAGGGCAGGGCCCCGGCCGGGGGGGGGGGGGGGGCTTCGCAACCAGGTCAAATATTGCGACGAGACCACCGAATATTTCTGTGATTTGTTTCCGAGGGTTGAGAGCGAGGCGTCGTCTACGTAGAGTGAATTCTGACAGTGAGATAATCATTTTAAAATGGTTCTTTTTTTCTTTTTTTTTTCAAATGAAGGAGTGTCGTAGCAGCTGTTTGGTCGTGGTGTAGTGCAGCTTTGAGCAAAATCCCCCACACTATTATTGAAGGGCTTTGAAGTTGTTCTTCTCACGTTAATGCACAACGTAGTGATTAATAGAATTGTGTTGAAGTCATTGAAGGTTGATCTCTAAAGGACTCTAAATATAACCATTAGGGCTATTAAATCAAGTAGTTAAAGCTGCTAAACAGTGATGTCATATCCGGCCCCCAACTGTTATTCATCGTGTGACTTATGCTTTGCTTTACTGCTTCATCGTAGGGCGCCATGCGCACGCTCAACCGTAGCCGTAAGTCAGTTGTGTGACTGATGGCTGGCGAGAGTAGCTGAATGTTTGTGTGTCAGAATTCTTGTGTCGTCTTTGCAGTCGTTGGAAAAGGTAGCACTTTTCTTTTCTCTCTTTTTTTTTTAATTTCTTTTTTTTACTTAATGTTATCTGGAGCGAGATGCGGCCTCACGGGCGTCCAGCGTTGGCGAGCTGGAAGCTAAAACGATGTGTTCAGTGAACGAGGCCTAAATCGCGCTGTAAACAATACATGCAAATTGAATCGAAGTCGGTTTAGTTTTATTTAGAACAGCGGTTCAGAGAAGAGGAAGTTACTGTAAATCGAGGAACGTCTCCAGAGTTTGCGTTTCTATTGGTGACAAGATGACGCTTAGATTATTTTATTTATTTTGTTTTCGTGCTTTTGGCCATTGCATTTAGATGCATTTTTGTGTTTCCTTTCCGTCGGCACATTCCACATACAGCTTGTCCCTTTATCACATTATATTTCTTTATGCGCTGACCTCACAACACTAACTGTAAAACCAGTAGCAGATTAAATGAGACGACATTGTGAAGAAAAAAATGATAAAACGTGCATTCCTCCTTTTGTATTAAAAGAAATGTTCTGATTATGATCGCGTTTTTTGTGTATTTTTTTTTGTGATGATTCCTCTGGTCGACTTCTGATTGGAACATCTTGGGTGTGTCAGCTGTGGGCAAAGCAACTGCTGCTAGACGTATGAACACACGCACACACTTAAAGCAACAACTAACACCCTCACAACCTCCCCCATGGTCCCATTTCGTCATATTGGAGTATTATTAACGGAACTGTATTTGACTCTCTCAACATTAAATATTGTAAATAATGCTCCTCGTATCGCTGACAGGCAGGTGCTCTGCACCGGAGTTAAATATATCGGGGCCTGCGGGGAAGCACTAAATTGAATATGAATCTTCGCTAAACGAAGCAAAGCAGGATGTGGTCGTCTTGTTTCACATTAAGAAAGCTGTGCTCTTTGTGTTCTTACTTCAAAAAGTGTTTTATCTTTATTTTGCGTAAATACAAGCGACTTGTCTGGATCATTAGTTCTTGGGTTGTCTTGGACTCACGTAACTCATTGGGATGGAAGGAAGAAGCGCATGTATTAAGTATTCACTTCTAGTCAGCAAATGGGAGGAAATGTCTTTTGAATGCTTTTGACTGCGTGCTGCGTCATCTGCAGCGGTTCTGCAGCTTGAAAAAAAAAAATGCTTCCCCTTTCCATGATGTAAAATAAAAATAATTACAATTCGTATCTGTCCTCTTCACCACACCCTGCTCATGTTGTACTTAGTCTGCCCCCTCTCCGCCCCCCCCCCCCCCCCCCCCCCGCCCCCTGCAGCCTTCTCCCACCTCAAAGGGCTGCAGCAGGTTTCATGCATCAGCCCCTTTCTCAGACACACACACACACGCTGTCACACAGTTCAGTCAGTCTCTCCGCAGCGTTCGGCACCTCAAACTTTATTTTCCGGCTCACGACTTTGGTAAGTGCTTCTCAGTTCCTTTCCCGCTTTTTAAAAAAATATTTTGACCAGCATCTTAACCTCGTTTTTGCTGCACACGTTTCTCCTCTCTGTTAAAAATGAAAGCACTATACACTCAGTTTAAACACTTGAATCTCCAGCTTAACGTGCTCCACGGTTTAAATGGTTATATTATTGTGTGTGTGCTTATTTCCCATTTTGTATTTTTATTTTCGCATTAAAAATGATGCTGCGACCCCCCCCCCCCCCCCTCGACTGATCTCCGGCAGTCTAATCAACCGTGACTAAAAAAAAAAAAGTTCCACCCGTTGCAGGCTGACTGATTCTGTTCAAATATCTTTCACAGGAAACCAGCAACGCTGCGAGCGGCCTGCTCGCTTCCTGCCGCCGCAGAGAACGCAGCCGGCTTACAGTGGCATAAGATAAAGGCCATAGACACACTTCCTGTCACGCCTGCAGTGTACGTTTCCATAATGCAATTATGAACCTTTGGTTATGGGTTAACCAGCACAACTGGTAACTCTCTCACTGTATTTGTGTGAGCAAGTGAGCAGATGTCAGAATGTAGCAGCTTCTGCAGCGTTTTGAAGCGGCGTTTATTGGAATGGTTAATCTTTCATGTAAAGCGAGCTTATGGTTTATCTGGAAGCATTGTTTATTTTTCAAATTTTCTTTCTTTTTTTTGTTCTAGCTTCTTAGTTTAAACCCAACCAATGGATCTTCTGATGAGAACTTCGCTTTAAAGTACAAGGACTTCTAACTTCTATAAAGCCGACTTTCTCCTCTACTCTGAGAAGGTAAACTACATTTCTAAACGTCACCCGTCTCAGTTTTGTGGCGTCTACAGCTCGATCGAAAAGGACTTTAGCCGTGTGGATTTCAAGCAGTTCAAGGTTCACCTGCTTTATATTACCTCTGGTGAAATGGAAATCCTGAAATTTACATTTGCCGGCATCATCTAATCTGCCACAGGCACAGTAGGACAAAACGCATCCATGTGGCACCCAAGTAAAATATAACTACAAAAAACAACTCTAAGTGTGAATAATTTCAATTTGCTGGTTAACGATGATGTGCTGGATTTAAAAAAAATGCCAATGTGTGGCCATTGTAACCCTTTTCTCTCTCTCTCTTTCTCTCTCCCTTTTTTCACTTCAGGCATGACAGGCATGACAGACATGACAGACAAAAAGCCAACCGTGCTGGTCCTTTCGCTCTGTCTGATCGGCCTACTTTTACTGCTGTTCTTCTTTTACAAGATGTTGAACAGGGAGGCCAAGGGCGAGTACACCGTGCGCCGCCTGGTGTATAGGGATGGAGGGGTCAGGGACCGGGTGAGAGGCGCGTTGTTGGCCCTGGGGACGCGCCTCGGAGTCCGGCTGTGGCCCTGGAGCGACGCCGATGAGGATGGAGAGGAGATGCGGGAAGTGGAGGATGAGGAGGGTCAGTTGGAGGAGGGGGGCAGCCAGTCGAGTGACAGCGAGGGGGACGGCGAGGAGGACGGGGAGCAGTGCAGCACGTCAAAGGGAGAGGAAGACGACGGACATCGTAGCTCAGACTACGAGAGTTCGGAGGCCGGCGAGCCAGACAGAGTAACGGATCAGGGGGAAGCAGGAGGGACGGGGGAGAAAGTGGGAGATGGGGAATGTAAAGGTGAGGCGAGTGGGGGAGCCGGGGTGTTGATAGATCTGAAGAAGTTCTCTGGAAGTGCCATCTGGTCTGAGGAAGAGGGTGGTGGGCGCATGCTCAGTGACGTGACTGCACTTTGAGAACAGGATAAAACGAAATATCAAATTACAGGGGTGGCTTCGGACGTAGCAGCCGACTCAGGTCTCGATTCTCCTTCATTAGATGTTAAAAATATTGTGAATCGGTTTTTTTTAATTGTCAATTGAGGTCTAAATGATGTTCCACCCCCCCCCTAAAAAAACAAGAGACGCATATTGATATGCAGGAGAACAATGTATTGCAATTTGAATGTGTGTAAATGTTTACCTGTAAAACTTTTCAAATTAACTTTGTATCATCGTCAGCATATTGCATAGTGTTTATTGTGGATTTTTAAAACTTTAAATGTCTAATTTACATGACAATAAAAACTGACTGTGCTTGTATCCTTCTTCTTGATATCATTTGTTGAATGCTGAAGTACTGATCAATTAATTGATTTTTATATATATATATATATATATATATATATATCTCATATATATATGATATATATATATATATATGATATATATGATATATATGATATATATATATGATTATATTGAATATATTTTGTGACCTGATGAATGGCTCCATACATGTTGAATAGTATCAATGACACCATGAAAGGAATACATACTAAGGACACTTTAAACGATTATTCCCAAACATGTACATGTTTGACCTACTTCCCCGTATCATCTACGTATTAAGACAGTTAATAAAGCATCATATTTTCATTTTAGAACCGGTGACATGTATCCTATAAATTCCCAACTCTGCCCGCTTAGAGGATCAGTGGGGATGTAGCTCAGTGGTAGAGCGCGTGCTTCGCATGTATGAGGTCCCGGGTTCAATCCCCGGCATCTCCATTCTTTTTAGTGTTTTCCCCTTGAGTTTAACTGTACTGCATAAACTATCACTAGATCATTGAAGCTTTTTTTAAAACGTTATTTTAATAGAAACGAACGCAAAAAAATGAACACGCAGTTAATGTTGAGAACAACGTGCGCGTAAGCTGTAACGTGTTCGTGATTGGTCGGATCGGAGATCTCCGTAAGAGTGGGAGTGTTCACGCACGATAATGTCAAACATTCTTTTTTTCCACCGGCCAAATGATCGTCAGATGTGGGGGAGAAGCACTCAATGGAGACATTATGGATTAACCAATAATTACCCCAGAGTCAAAGTAAACATAACTGATGCGGTGACACGTTACCAAAGCAATTATGTAACCACAAATCCGAGATTTCACCTCGAGACTGACGACGTTCTTACAGGGACAGGTGGACCATTAGGCTACAAATACACCCAAACTGGTCCGTGATTGGACTGGGGACACTGGACATACTGGAGCCCATTCAACGCGGTAAATATTCCAATCTTTTTTTTTTTAGGGATGTGATCCTCCCTTTCCCGAATGCACAGATCTAGCGAAAAACTAACAATACAGAAATAATAATAATTGCAACCTTTCTGTCACGGCAACCTAACGGTACTTCGGTTGTGGCACCCTGAGCCATCCAAGTTGCATTTTCTCCTCTCACCCTAACTTGACTGTGCCGGAGAAATGATTTCAGCAGACGTCACTCATCTGCATAGGGACTAAAATGCAACCATCCTGCATCAAGCTCCTCACGAACCCGAAACGCCACCTCGTCGTGTGATTACAGGACCTCCTAATTGCTGCATAAACGAAACTACAAACATGGAAGGTACGGTTTGCATGTCGTGTCCTGGTGGAAAAAAAAAAAACAACAAATAAATATATATATAGTTCTATTCACAGATAGGAAAAACACATCTGGCTTACAAACTGTCCAAGATGGATGCAGCGCCGCTGTGCGCAGGGATGCGCGGCGGAGCGGCAGCAGGTTGCCTTTAAACGCCCGATCAATACTCGCGGTTTTCGCCGAACGTTTGCACCTACGTCTTGTCGCCTTTATGCAATACATTTAAATATATATATAAATCCTTTTTGTTGTTGTTGCAGGAGTAGGATGTTACTAGCATCCGCCGTGTTGGTATGGGAATGGCTGAACGAGCACGGACGCTGGCGGCCCTACAGCCCGGCTGTCTGTCATCACATCGAGGCAGTCATCCGGAGCGACCCGCGGTGTGGTAGTGTCGTCCTCGGCCAGGTGGACTCTCGCCTCTCGCCCTACATCATCGACTTGCATTCCATGCACCAGTTCCGACAAGACACAGGTGAGACAGACAGACAGACGCGCACGCACGCACGCACGCACGCGGGGCGTTGATGTTGTGGCGGTGTAGCCGGGGCCCTGAGGTGGAGGCCTGTTTTGTTGTTGTGTTATTGTTAGTTGCTGTTGTGCGACCACGTTACGTTTGCAGGCCTCCGGTGTTGATTCTGCTCCAGAAGACGTTGAGCTTGTAAAGTGGATTTTCCATTTTCTGCAGCAATGACTGTGTCATTCTTTTCTCTTTTGAAATATTGTTTATACTCTATACTCTACTATAAGTCGAGTCTCCCTATAGCTGACATTTCATCTAAAGGTGAGGGACGGATGCTGTCTGTGGTTCTGAAAGGTGTCTTTGCTCGAAGTGACTCATACTGTTTGAGCATTTGTGTGTGTGTGTGTTTTTAGCGACCGGCCCACAGGCCACAGTAGCGGCTGAACCATCCAGTCTTTCTTTTTCTTTTTCCTCACCGTCATCAGCACCACTGTCTCATGTAACAGACTACAGGCGCTGTAAATCATCTTTTGCAAATCAAAGCGTCACAAAGAGAGAGAGAGAGAGAGAGCGAGGGAGGGAGGGAGGGAGAGGCGAGCGGAGCAGTAAGACAAAGCAGGGAGTTGTCAGTTGTCAGGCGCCTTACTTTGGCAGAGAACCTAACATTTCCCCCCTCTCTCCCTCTCTCCCTCTTTCTCTCCTTCTCTAAACATTGGCTGACAAAAGCCTTTGTGGAGTTTGTTTTCCAAATCCCAGCAGAAGCTGAGCTAGGGGGAGGCGGGCAGGGAGGGTGCCCGAGTCTAAATAGGAGACAGGGAGGAGGAGGAGGGGAGAGGAGGAAGGGAGAAGGGTGGGGGAGAATTTCGGGAGTCTGAGGTCATTGATGAAACGGGGTCGATGGGAGCAGATCTCGTGAATGAACTGCCTTGTTGTCTTGTGAAATGTCTCAACCAAATAAACTGTACGCCCTAAATTGCAATTTATGTTTAATGAATCAACGGGTTTAGTCACATTTGAGGTTTTGCTACAAACGCTTTTTCAATTCTCTGTTGTCCGTACACTACGGAAGGGGGGGAAACATACATACGCCCTGACGGCACTGCAATGGGATCCCGAAAAGCTTTCACCTCCCACTTGTAGATTCAAACTCACTTGCTTCCAGAAATCTCTGGCCCCCCAATCGCCCCCCTTTCAGACACAGGGTTTGACGTGCGAAGGCTTTACAGTATGCGCAGGCTCTGTCGACATTCTCCGGACGCCCTGGGAAAGCAAACACGGCCAGCCTTTGGGGTCGGATCACGGGCTGCCAGCCAATCGGAAATTGAGAACACCGCGTGCCGTTACCAGGGGCAACCCGTTTACCCAAATTCTTAGCGAGCAAACACAAACACGTCGAGTTTGTCCGGCTCACGGTCTACTTGTCTGCAGTAAACAGTTCCTCTCTTACCTCCTCTTAAAACGTCACTTTGTAGAAAGCCTCGTCGAATCGGTGCAAATCACACATGCGGTCCGAATGCGAAAGGCTGTGGCACTTCCCCTTTCCTGCTGTGTTTGACCTCCCAACCCCCTGCCTCAGGTACCCTTCGACCGGTACGACGTAGCTTCTACGACCCCACCTCGGCGCCGGGCCAGGGCTGGCTGTGGGAGTGGGAGAACGACGCCGGCAGCTGGACGGCGTACGACACGGAGGTGGGCATCGCCATCCAGGCAGCGCGCGACCGCCAGCAGCCCTGGCTGGACCTGGCGCCGCTGGGCTTCTGCTACCTCATTGACTTCGAAAGCATGACCCAGATCAACGGGCAGACGCAGCGCTGCCGACGCATCCAGCGCCGCGCCGACCTGGCCTACCCGCTGGTGTCCGGGCCCCTGCCCAAATCCCACCACGCCTGGGGGCCAATGTCCATGCCCAGCCACGGGGGACTGCTCGGCGTGGACGTGTCCGGGGCGGGCATGGGGGTCCGGATGAGCGGCGGCGGCGGCGGTGGCGGCGGGACCGGGAATGGGAGCGCGTACCCCAGCGGGGCGCTACCGGCCTCGGCCATCACCTCCCTGGGACAGCCCTGCGCCTGTCAGCAGTGCATGCTGGTGCTGAGCGTCAAGGCGGGCGCCATGTCGGCCCACACCCTGGGTCGGAGGCCGCCGCAGACCAAGCCACCCAGCCCCAAAATCAGCAGTTACCCTGTGCCGGGGGGGTCGTACTCCTTGACCCTCCCGCGACCTCCCTCCCTGTCGCGGTCCTATTCCCCCCACAGGACGTCCATAGTTGGGGCGACAGGTGGCTTCAGCGTCGGCGGCATGGGTGGCCCAGTAGGTGGCGGTTTCGGGGGCGGCGGCGGCGGCATCGGTGGCCTCGGCGGCCTCGGTTACGGAGGAGGCTTCCCCCACTCTTTCTCCCTCCTCAACTCGGCCACCGGCGCCCTCTCCATCTCCTCTGCCCGGCCTCCTCCTCCGCCGCTCCCCCCTCTTCCGCCGCCCCCTCCGCCTCCCTCCACCGCCCTCTCGTCCGCCGCTGCCGCCGCCGCCGCCCCCTCTCCCCCTCACCCCTCCGCCTCTTCCTCCCTGTCCGCGTCCGGCTCCGCCCCCGCGGCGCCCTCTCCGGGCCCGCCACTCATCTCCACGGCTGCCTCCACCTGCACGCCGTCGCCTTCGGCCCGCGTCCTGGGCCCAGTGTCTTCGTCTGGTGCCGCTGCCTGCGCGGCCCCTCTGCCGCCCCGGTCCAGCCTGGCGGGGCTGAGCCGACCTGCACTGCAGCGCATAGCCATGGCCCAGTCGCGTGCTCTTATTGCCTCTGGGTGAGTACACATCCACTGTAGTATAGTAGTAGTGCTAGTAGTACTATCCATTCAGTTTAGTCCCAACATCCAAATCTTCTACACTGAATCAGGCGCATCATTAGCTTAAAGCTGCGACCATCAAGGTTATTACACGTGCAGCGGATCACATGACGAGTGTGTGTGTGTGTGTGTGTGTGTGTGCGGCGTAGAAAGGTTGTGCTCGTAGTGATGAAGCTCCCGAGAATCAACCAGCAGCAGAAGACGTTCGTTTTTCAGTGGCGAGAAGACAACTGTCTGCTAACGACCTCAATATAAGAATGAAAGAACCTTTATAAACACATTCGCCGACAAAACAAATCGGGGAGAAAGAAAATCGTCAAAAGGATGTGACTTGTGTGTCTGTTTGAGTGGCAGTCTGTCTCACTTATTGTCTCATGTTTGACCGGACGTTGCGAGGACCTCCTCACAGGCACCACGTCCCTCATCAACATACCCCACATGGAACCAAACGAGCCCGACCAAACCGGAAACGTAAGGCAAGCCAGACAGGCCTCCCTAATTGGTTCGCAGAGCCTTGGAGAGCTTTGTGGTTTCGTGCGTGTCAGCACTGGGGTTGGTAACCGTAGCAACCAGTGTTGACCAGGGGCTTTGTTTCACAATGTAGGTTTACTGAGATATCCTGATGACTTGGGCTGAATAAAACCTCCCAATTTAAAACGTGTGACACGCTGCAGGTTTTATTTAGCAAACCACTTGGGGAACCGGGGTGTAACATCTGGGCTCTCCCCATTTGATGTGGAAAGCACAATTTCCCAAAGAGGAAACGGAGGTTTTCAGATGTTGTCTTCGGGGGTCTTCGGGGATGAGGATCGTATCTTCAGTCTAAACAAGGTCTTAAAGGTCTAGTGCGTCAGATTTTGATAGCTTCTAATTACTCCGGATTACGGCTATTGGTACATTTGACAACTTCTAGATTGCATTGTAACCAACCGCACCGCTGTTCCTTCGTCGTGTTATCGTGCCTGGCGGTTTTTCTGCTGCCTCACTTTTGACTCCTCGTGAGCAACCTAGAAGTTTTAGCAACAGATTCCAATTATAGCCGTTCTTTTTATAACATTTCTGACAGGGGCCTTTCTGGGTTTGCTCTAGATGTCACTTATGTTATGCGGTTGCCTCGAATAAAAACATGCAGGAAATTGAGCAACGCATCCAGTCACGCTGGCACATCTGCACGGAGCTATTAGTGTATTGTGAAAAAAAAAAAAAAGAGCTTTTTTCCATCAGGGCAGATTTTATCACTGTGATGAGAGTCCCAGCCGTGAACCAAAGGTAGTCACAAACCAGGTATGCGGCTGATGTATAAAGACTGGTGAGGTCCGAGCACGGCGTCTGAAATAAGACAGTGGAAAGTGTGAAAAACATTGGTCCTCTTTGTCTAGCAGCTAGTTGTCTGCAGTTTGGTGCTCTTTTTTTCTGCTGAAGGCACTGAGGGTCAAACAAGTTGAAGGCCAGGAGGTCAAGGCAGTGAACTAAGTTCAGTAAATCCTTCTCTGCTATTACTAGTTTATCTGCTACAAGAGTCCGCTACCTATACTTGAAGAAGTTGTTCTTGACCCTTGCTGTTCTGGATCCGTACCCTCTCGGTTGAATGCACTTATTGTAAGTCGCTTTGGCAGAAAGCGTCGGCTAAATTCAAATGTAATGATGTACAAAACGACACATTATTAAAGAAAAAAAAAAAGGCATTTTTGAAGAGTAACATTTGTTGTCGTTATGTCCCTGCGAGAGCTCGCCTCAAGTGAAACGGAGCAGATGGTTTTCCGATCGAGGTGTTAAAACTGTCGGGATGCTTTCTCCTCTCACCGCGCCGGGAATGATTCCTGCAAGCGCGTCAACGTAACAAAGCGTGCGTGCGTGTGTGTGTGTGTGTGTGTGTGTTGGTCCATGCTGGCACCTTGTGTTTGCATCATCCAGCGTTGCAGATACAGATTTTGCTCTAACGATTAAATAAACGTGACCAATGGACACTTCTTACACTTTCTCTGCTTTTCCTCCACCTTCCCTTTAAACCTTTTTCGTCAAATGACGGACAGGATGTCGCTCGGTTTGTTGAGCTGTGTATAGTTGTGTTGTTGCTGTCTTTGTTTGTACCAGTAAGCAATCTTTAGCCTTGAAATAATACGCCACACTGTGAATTTGATTAATATACAGTAATTTTACCAATTCAACCATTTTTTTAAAAAGATCCCCTAATTTCTGATTTAATACACAGTATTTTTACCAATTCAACCATTTTTTTAAAAGATCATTGTGTAGCGTCACCTAATTTCTGCTTTGTTTTTAATTAAGTCCTTCATCATACCAGAGACATTATGTACGGTCGAGTACAAAATCTATTAAAAAAAAGACAGATGTGGGAGGTAGAAAAACAAAATATAAAGGCGGAGAAAGACGCAGTAAAACATCTCTTGGAAAAGTATTTTTACATTTTTTTGTACTTTATGTAATTATGTAATTTATGTATATTATGTACAAAAATTAGGAGAAGAGAAAAAAGTCAAAAATATACGGTAAACCCTACACAAATACAATAAAAATAATCAAAATACATTAATATGTGCGTAAATAAGTAAAGGGTAGGCTCTTTATTATAAGAAAAATAATAAATAAAAGATAAATTTATTGATGCAAACACCTCCACTAGGTGTTCCAGGAGCTGTGGTTACCTTTGATCAGCAGGGGCTGCAGGCTGTACCTAATGACAGCAAAAGAGATCACAGTAAGGTCAGAGGTCAGGTTCTGTGGACAGCTTTGTTCAGTATTTAAGTCATCCTGCCCCCAAATCTCAGGTCCGGGTTTTACAATAGCAGGCGTAACATCCACACAGTGGCAGTCCGTGGGAACAACGACCTGGCGGTGTGACGTGGTAACTGACCGCTAAATCCCTCCTGGGACGCTTCTCTGGCCCAGAGTTTAGTCAACAGATGGGAACTGGTGGATTATCCCTATAAAAGGAGGAAAGACACCTGACAGCTGCTCACAAACCGAGAGGGAGAGAGAGACCGGAGACGGACCGAGGGACTCAAATCCTGTACCCGGTAAAAAAAAAAAATATTACTGGAAAATCTTGTAAAAAAAATGACCATTATCAGAATTGGCACAACGTAAGTACACGCCTCTGACTGGACAGTGTGGTGACAGTTAATGTGTCTGTTTGCCTGATAGTGAGCAGAGACACAGGGATTTAGAAGTAGTCCAAAACGAGCCTGCCGGGATGTTGCCTTCAGCTCTGTGCAGCACCGCCCTTACTAACCACTTCACACTGTGGGGGTCCTCAGCAGGGGCTACTGGTACATTTGTTATTAATGCTATGGTACGTAGTTATTCATGTAACTATCCAGCATCATATTAGAATGGAAACATTAAGTACGTGGTGGCCTTTGTCACTCTTCAGCAAAAGATTTAACGCGGGACTTTCACTGTGCGGCAGTAATAGTTTTACTTGTGAAGCGGTGACGGGGTGTCTTTAAAAAAACGTCCATCACGCTGCATGTTTTAGTGAACCCATGGACCGCCTGAGGCTCCGCCCCTGCTGCTACACCGAGCCGTGTGTTTGTTTAATCAAAGTTTTTGTTCCTGTTCCCCCCAAATGTGGTGCCAACGTGAAATGGCACCACATTTGAAAAAGTCAGTCCACTGGATGCACAGCAAAACACCCACCAGGTGTGAAGTAGATCGGAGGATAATGTTAGATAAGGGTTTCTTCACTGCTGTTGAATTTCTTTTTTTAGAAAAAAATTTTTTAGGTCTTTTGAAAAATAAAATATGGATTTTGCTGACTAATTTCTGTATGAAATGAGAGCCGCTTAAATTAGTTTGACCTCCCAATTTTAAGTGTACTTAATATTAGCTTTGCAAATGGAAGGGGGAAAAAATAACTAATTTGCCTAAACTAAGGTGTCGATAATGCTGCCGTACACACGATCCTAATCTTAAACCTTCCATACCAGGAAGTCCCGCCTGGTAATTAGAGGACAGTAAATCAAGTCGTGATGAGCAGCATCTGTTTGTGTCTCTGCATGACTCGGCAAAAGCTCCTTAGCCTGATGGTTAAGGAGCTGGCATATTCTCTGTGTCATCCCTCCTGTATTACATTTGACTCATTTGATGTCTGCCCCATAGTGTGTCTCAGCAATCGGTAGATTATGTTTGTTTTCCCCTTTTTTTCAGAGTGCCAACTGTTCCAGTGAAGAACCTGAATGGGTCAAGTCCCGTGCATCCTGCCCTGGCAGGTAAATTAATCGACACAGCCTTACTCATTATAATTCAGATTATTTAAAAATGGGTCTGCTCCCAAATGTAACCCCTATGGTTAATTGATATCCATTTGCATGAAAAAACCCTCACGCGCTGAGGAAAACCCCAAATATATAGTGACTGACATGCCCCCTCTGCTGGACGCACCTAGGGATTACAGGCATCCTGATGAGCGCGGCAGGACTTCCTGTCTGCCTGACCCGCCCTCCCAAGCTGGTGCTCCATCCTCCACCCGTCAGCAAGAGTGACATCAAGCCCGTGCCCGGTCTGGGCCACTGCTGTCGCAAAACCACCAAGAAGCAGGCTCGCAAAGGTGGGTCTGACGATTAAAGTCCTTTTTTGCTTTTTACCTTTTCGCCGATATGCAATCGCACCTATCGCCTGCATTCCTGTGACAAACGGATCATCTTATTTTTTCTTTCTGTCTTGTAGGAAAGACCCCTGAGGAGGTGGTGAAGAGATACCTTCAGAAGGTCCGCAATCCCCCGGAGGAGGTGAGTTTTTTTTTATTCTAGTTGTTTTCAAAAGACCTGAACCCCCCCCCCTAAAATTGCCGGTTTTCCATACCAGGACTGCACTATATGCATGGAGGCCCTGGCCGGGCCATCGGGCTACAAAGGCCCTGGCGTGGGGGGCATCTCCAGGGCCGAGTCGGTGGGCCGCCTCGCACAGTGCGGCCACCAGTACCACCTCCAATGCCTCGTCGCCATGTACAACAATGGCAACAAGGACGGCAGCCTGCAGTGTCCCACCTGCAAGACCATCTACGGGGTCAAGACAGGCAACCAGCCCCCGGGCAAGATGGAGTACCACGTCATCCCGCACTCGCTACCCGGCCACCCGGACTGCAAAACAATCCGTATCATTTATAACATCCCTCCTGGCATCCAGGTAATGTCTCGCACACGCCTGCGTGAGCGGTACCTTCTGATGCGATGTTCGATTTTGCTCGGATGACTTGATGAACTTTTCTCTCGACCTTTAGGGCCCAGAGCACCCAAGTCCGGGCAAACCGTTCACCGCCCGCGGGTTCCCCAGACACTGCTACCTCCCCGACAGCGAGAAGGGACGCAAGGTAAAGTGAGAACTCGTCTCCACAGGCGAACCTCCCGATTTGGGTTAGGATTAGAGTTGAAGTGACCGGATTCTGTGACGACGCGTCGTGTCTCCCTTCGTCTCTCCCTCCTAGGTACTGAGGCTCCTTCTGGTGGCGTGGGACCGCCGACTCATTTTCTCCGTGGGTACGTCCAGCACCACCGGCGAGTCGGACACGGTAATCTGGAACGAGGTGCACCACAAGACCGAGTTTGGCTCCAACCTGACGGGCCACGGCTACCCGGACCCCGGCCACCTGGACAACGTGCTGGAGGAGCTCAAGGCTCAGGGCATCACGGAGGAGGAGTGCCTGCCCAGAGACTGAACGGACGCATTGGGATTCGTGGGCGGAAGGACAAATCCACTTTTTTTTTTGTCTCTGTGGGGAAAAAAAACATGAACTGAGAGGACTTTTACCAACAGGAACAAGCAACTTTAAAAAGCAGAACTCTTTCCGGGAGCGTCGGTAAAAGCGGTTCGGCAGAATTCGCTGGGAATGAAATGTCTCTCGTGACTGCATGGGTCAGTTTCGACACATGGGAAAAAAAATTTCCTCCCAATGCAGTAACGGTGTCAAGATCGAAGATGGTATTCAGTGAGACCACTGTGCACATATGAGTCAGTGTTAGATATAAAAAAAAACAAGAAAAACTTTCATTTATACTGTGAGACTTCATTTTAAGAATGTAACAACGTGAATTTTGCTGAATTGGTCATGTGTTTAGCACTGCTGCTGCTACGTGGAACTGAAAAGGAGGGACGTCTGTAAGCTGTTTTGCGTGTGAAGTCCACAAGCAAAAGAAACTTGTCATTGCAGATGAATATTTCAAATGTATAACTGGATATCTGAGCATGAATATTTGCTGACCTCTAGTGGTACTTTTCCAGAACTACATTCCTGTTTAGGTTTGATTTATATTTTATTGTATTGTTGTATATTATGAATACTTGATATCTGATATTGTTTCCATTCTATCATTTTTAAAATACTTTAATTAGACATTTTGTTTTGTATGCTTTGTTTTATTTGCGTTGTCTTCAGGTGGGGGGGGTTAGATCAGACACAATCAGAACCAGAACCATTTATTGCCAAGTACGTTGAACACACAAGTAATTGTTTCTTGTCGGGATGGTGCAAACAATAAACATACATAGTCATAAATAGACAAACGCGTGCAAAAAACAAGAATAATGTTCTAGTTTTAATTTAAGTGTATTAGATATCAAATACTAAATAATGACTAGAGATGATGGTCAAAAATTGTCCTTGGAGTGACCGAATAAAGAGTTGTCGATGGGGGGCGGCACTGGAGTTGGTGGTTGAGAGGCATGGGACCCCTGTTGAGTGGGGGGAGGAGGGCCTGACGGTCCTGAGCTGGTTGATGGACCCGTGGACAATGGGACCGTCCCATTGTCCTGCAAAGCGACAGTAGAACTGGTTCAGCTCGTCTGCCAGGCGACGGTCGTCCCAAGGAGTGTGTTTGTTTGTGTGTGTGTGTGTGTGTGTGTGTGTGTGTTGGGGGGGGGGTTAGGCTTGTAATTGGTGATTTTGTCTGAGACCTTCCCAGACCGTAGCAGAGTCACTTTATGAGCGCTGATCGTGGAGCTTCTCGCAGTACAGTTGTTTAGCGTCTCTTCACCGCCTTGCCAAAATGTTTGCCTCTTTATGAAAGTCTTTGTCCCGCCCCCTTGAATGCCTGTTCTTTATGCAAACGTATGCCAGCCATATACCAGCCCCCTTTCTTTAACAGTATTTTGTATTAGATTAGTTCACAAACTGACATTCCTTAAATGTTCTGCCCTCAAATCATGAGTGCATTTGATAGCTTTCTATGTCTTCTTGTATCTGCGTTATAGGAAAGGCTACAATGGATTACACCCCCCCCCCCCCCCTCCCCAGCAGGAGTAAATACCCCAAAAGGCTAGGATTGGACTTCTTGCCTAAGCTCAGACTTGCACAGAGCTTTCTACTTAGTATCAAAATGAACCGGACAGCTTGCATCTACTGTATCATTGCATAGGACACACACACCAGCCTCAAATGCGCTAATTACAAAACAAAATGTGCTCACCGTTTGTTTCTTCGTCATCCGTAGTTTTTGCCATGAGCAGGTGCAGAAGACTATCTCTTGTTGTGGATCCAGCTTTGGCCAAAGTGGTCCAGTTAGTTTGCATTGGGTCCATTGTGGACCGGTTTATTATGACGTACAATAGACGAGATGTTCGACATGTCTTGACATACTAACGTAGGCCAACATTAATAGCATTTATACTTTATGATGATGACTTACTGTATGCACTGTACTGTATGTATTTGTTTTATGTGCACAAATTTGCATTAAACGTTTTTCTAAGGTTCAAAGAGATAAGAGAACTTTAATCTGGTTTACTCTTTCATTTCATGCCTAATTATCAACTTTAAAACCAACTGAGACATTTAAACGCTTTAAGAATACTTCATTGATGTTTCAAAACGGTGCAATTTGTTATAGATCGTGCAGTTTTTCAGACATGTTCTGCCATCATGAGAAGATTTAATTAAAAACACATGCTGGAAAATAGTATCTGTAAGTTATATAAGTTGTAGATGTGGGTATATTACTTCAAGACGTGAGGGGCGTATGACCAGTTTACCAGTAGATTAGTCTGGGCCCTGGATTAGTGGTCTGGATTACTTCCACTTTAACGAATGAAACATTACGGAGATAATTAGACACAATTATAATGGACCCTCTGCAATAGGATTGGGACCTGATATGGACACGGACAAGGGTTAGTGAAAGAACTGTCAAGGCAACAATCACAACCCTACAAAAAAAATAACATCACAATCAGGGAGTGAGAAAGCAATAAACATAACCTGATACTAAAAAGACTAATTCAATTTTTGTGACACAGGCCCTTTTAAGTGCACACTGGAGAAATAAACCTTTCACATCAACTTTCATTTGCCCTTCCATTTCTCGGAAGGTTTTTCTTAAGTGACAGATGTGATGGAGTGGGCAAAGATGCTAATTTGTGTCTTCAAAATGCACCGGCCGCCTGTCAGGTCACCGCGGAGCAGATGGGTTAAACGTCTAATCAGGCCAGGACTGAGTTAAGCCGCTCTGACAGCAACCAGTGGCTCTGGGAAAAGATGAAGTGAGGTTGGGCTTAAGTTCCTTTCCCAGTTCTGCACTTTTTGGGTGACAAAAGTAAATGTGGAGAGACAAAGAAAATGTCTAAATGCTGCAGCGAGGGAGCGGTTTGAGGTCTGTGCAGTGTGCCTTTCATGCATAAATACTCTTGAAGGACAGATGGGACCAAAGAGGAAGGGAATTTAAGAACAAATGTGCATAATATGGCAGATTAGGACGCTTGAGATAAGGGGGGTGGATGGAGATGGGCCCCTTGCTGAGATGTAAACGGGGGAGGGGTCCTCAAATGGTCAGAGAAACCCCTCCTGCAGGGGTGCATGTTGCTAAAACTAGGGCTATGAATAGAAAGCTGATTACAGAGCAGTCAGCATTTTGTGTTTCGTTGCAGTGGCGCCGATGGTCTGACATCTCTCCCCCCCCCTGTTATTTCCACCCAAAGTGTTTCACAGTTTTTCACTGAGCGTTTTTTTTCCTGCCTTTTAGGGCTAAATTGCAGACAGGAATTATCTTCCTCTGTTCTACATCACGACAGATAGAGCCAAACCTCTGTCGTCCGTCTCCAAAGGACTTGTCTATTATTAAAAGCTTTTAAATGGAGCAGCGTGTTGGCTGACGACCAAATCCGGCTCCCTCGTTGCCACGGAAACGCATACCCTGAGCTGTCCTTTTTTCTTTCTTCTTCCCCCCTCTTCCCCGCAGGCTCATATTTCAAAAATGTCAGCTATCGCGTGCAGCTCACGCTGCTGCCTTTCAGCTAAAAGCTTTTTGTCCTGCCAATGGAGCAGAGCAGAGGGGAAAAGGAGAGCGGACGCGGGGGAGTGGTTAAAAGAGAGGGAGGGAAAACAAAGTGCCTCCCCCTTGTCGTTGCCAAGGCAACTTGATGTCACGGTGACATCACACACCCCTAAAAGCTTTTAACCGGATTCCTCTCCCGCCTTAGGCCCCATTTTGAGTTCTCTTTCAGCTAGGCTAGGGGGGGAAGGGCAGAGTCAGGACGTCAGGCGTTTGTGCCTGCTTGCAAGTATCACTCCCTCCTTGCAGATTCCACACGGCTCTCAGCACAGTAAAAGCCTTTCAAACACAACCAACCAAAGATCCTGTTTCTGCAAACAAAGCCAGGGGACACCATTTTCAAAAATGGCAACAGAGGACGGTTTCAGCTACCTGATGGGGGGTCAGAGCGAGAAGCACAGGCGGGCCCCGAACTGGACCGACGGCGAAATGAAAGCCCTCCTGTACGTGTGGGAGGAACACCACCACGAGCTGAAAATGAGCAAGAGGAACGCCAAGGTTTACGAGAAGATGTCCCAGCGGTTTTACCAGCTGACCGGAGAGCAGCGCTTTAAAGAGGAGATCAAGATGAAAATCACCAACATGTCATTTCAGTACAGGCAAGGGCAGCAGATCCAAGCGGCCCGCCGGAGGTCTGGCAACAGACTTCAGCCGCTTGCACGACTTAAAACCTCAAATTTTTCTTTTTTCATCCAACAGGCGACTGAAAACCGTGGTTTCTGAGAGTGGGGAGACGCCAGACTGGCCGTACTTCAAGGCCATCGAGAAGATCCTCTCCAAGCCGCCGGAGAACGGACGTTTGAACTCTTTGGAGTTTCAGGCCTCCGCCGCAGGTCCCTCCACCTCCTCCCAGTCTACAGACAACCTGGTGCCCCAGTCCGAGGAAGGGGGGCTGGGATACCTGCCAGAGTACACGGGCTCCTCAGACGAGATGGAGATAAAACAAGAGCTGGACTCGTTGAGCTCCGACAGTGAGACGCAGGATTCCAGGTGACAAAGACTACTGACATATTTATATATATATATATATATATATATATATATATGACAGAAGAGAATACACTCCGCTTTGCTTTTATCCATAGCTCGTCGTCTTCCTCAGATGGCGAGAGAAATACGTGCATGCGACATTAGTGTGGTGAGATAATGTCATATAATGTAATGCCTTGATGTGATACTTTCACATGACTTCCCACCTGATATCACGTGACCGTGTTAACCAAACGAGGCTGAGACCTCGGGAAGCAAGCAGAACTTGTGCGGGTGAAGACTCGATCTCCAGAAGGAACTTGTAAACATGTCATTATGCATCGCTCCAGGAGGCGCAGCGTAGAGAGCGGACGTAAATACAGAGAAAAACAAATTTGAGAAAAGGGCATTTGACGTTTTCCCTTCAGAACAACAACAGGAAACAATTTGGAAAGAACTTTGGGGAGGGAAAACCCCAGATTTGAACATGACGTACTTCCCATCTTTGCCCTCAAATGAAAATAACAATTTGTGAGTTAAAGAATATGTGATTTAAAGACCGCCTAAGCTTAAACACCACAGCAAGCCATAAATTCCACGATCATATAAAGCATGACAGGATTTTGGTGCGACCCAGAAGTGATCTCTTACCACAAGACACTGCCTGCTCTGAAAAGGTCCATTCTCTGTTCTCCAGCTCTCACCCTACTTCAGCCAGGAAAAGACATGCCAACAAGCACCTGTCCATGAAGAGGAAGAAACTGCGGGTGATGCAGGCCATGCTGCAGCAACAGAAGAAGTCGAGCCGGGCCATCGAGGAGACGTGCAGGGAGGTACGTCGAGCCATGCACCAACAGAACCTCCTGCAGGTCCAGTGCCTGCAGCTGCAGGAGCGCATGATGAACCTTCTCGAGAAGATGATCCAGCCCCCCTCCACCACGTCGGCCTCCTGGGGTCAGAGTGGGGTCAAAGATCCAGCGAAGCCATGAAGCATGAGGGTTGTGGTGGTCGGGGAGGGATCACGGTCTTGCCTCACTTAAAGCCTTGTTGAAGCGGGAAGAAAATAATATTTATTTTGGATTTCAGTTCAACAGTTTGGGATCCAAATGTCAAAGTGTAGCTTTCAACAGTGCAGAAAGTTACGGATATAATGTTACCGTGTTTTGAAAGGGGAATGGATTGAATTACCCGTGTTGATGACCATAATGACCTATGCTGGCACATGAGCATCCCACGTGTGTCAGACACCAATGTGAACTTTTATGTTAGCTAGATCTCATAGCTATCCCTATCAGATCAGATGTTGTGCTCATTTGTCAAGTACCCAATTGAAATACCTGTGAGAGCAACAGCATTGCAAAATACAGACTTATCTGGTCACTTTTTCACTGTGCCGGAAAAATTAAAGATGCCAAAGGTCAACATACACGGCTGAAGCCTGCAGAAATGTTCATTTTGTGAATCTTATTTAGCTGCGATGGATGCAAATTGAAAAATGTTTGAGTCCACTGACGTTTTTTTTTGTTCATATCCAGAAAATTGTGGTTGTGCGTTACTGTGACTCGGCTCTCTGCCTGCACACTAATTGGACTGACTGAGCACAATCAGATAATATGCAGTGTAATTGTGCATTATGCATTGTGCTCTTAGAATTAGATTAAGGCCCAAAGCCAAACGGAGACAAAAACAGAGATTGACATTTAAATTCCTGAGAATGCAAAGATGTCCTGTTTTCGTGTGCATTTCTGCCAAATAAAACAACACGCAATCTACCATTATTCGTTGTCTTTCTTTTTTTTTTACTGCAGAGTAATTATTTACATGTATTTTACACAGACGGCCTGTTTTAAAGCCAAAATGTTAGTCTTTGCCTTTCAGCCCATTTTAAGAGGATTTGGAGAAACTGGGGATTAAGTTGGTTTCGTCGCTCACTAGACTAACGCGCACAGACGTCGGTGCTTCATGAAAAAGAAAATGTTTTTCAAAAGCAAACGTTGTTACCTGTGACATGGCAGGTAACAATACCTATAAGCTATTCACATATAAAGTACACAATGGCTTCATGACGGATAGCATTAACCAATTTAGCGGCACTCAAAATGTGACACCTTTTATCCAAACACTCTTCCTTGCAAACGCGCAGGCTGCTGCACGTGTGTAACAAAGCCATGTGACAACGCAAACCGTTGACGGCCTTTGACCAGAGAGGCATATCGAAGGTAAACCGCAGTAAAGTGCAGCTGCTCCTGTGTGGAAGAGACGGGGACGGGGACGGGGGGGGGGACGGAGACCCGCATGCACGAGAGAGATACTGCAGTAACAGCAGAATCATATAGGTAAGAATACATATATGCGTGTGTTTTTGTCATATTAACAACTTATGAACATTGAATCTTTGTGTGTGTTTTAAAACAAAACGTTTCTGGGATTATAAGAGGACACACACTTAGACGTACACGCGCACTTAAAACCCACCATTTCCATATTTAAGTGTCGTCGTTTACCAAAAACAACACCTCTGTGCTTTTAAAACGGATTTATCTGCAAAATGAAGGCTGTCAGCAGCCACCAGCATCAGCCAATGGCGTTCCTCCAATTATTTGAATATTGGGCATGACTTGCGTGGTGATTGGCCGGGGAGGGAGGTCACGTGTTCCAGAGACGTTACGCTGTCATGGTTACAATGAAAGACGCTTTGTGTTCTCCGCCCGATGCCATGTGGACTCGCTGAATCGCCGCACTGATTTACCACACAAAACGGGAGGTTAAAGTGAAAATGTAAACTTTCCGACGTGCAGCAGCTTCCACGTGACTCCGTGGCAGCGTTCTTGGATCTTTTCACTTCCGGAAAAAAGGTAATTTTTTAAAAAGTTCGTCGTCACGCAGCCTCGTTAGCGGCGATAGTTTGTGTTTTGGCGTTAAGTGAAACACCGAAACGAGCTAATGTAAGTTATGTTTTATTATGTATATATTTTTTTCAATACCCGGATCAAAATAGTGTTTTATCCGGAGTTTTTAAAAAGTGTATGACCGAAACCAAAGAGGCTGGTTCCCCTTTAAATGTCGCCGGTGAGGGAGAGCCAGCTGGCGTGCTGTTTGGGGGTCTGGGGGGCACCAGGCAAGCTGTGCTTCATCTCTGACACATAATCAGTTAAAGAAGATTGATATCGGAGTTTTGTTTTGTTCATAATTGACCTCAGTGTGAGTTTAAAAAAAAAGCTGCAGGAGCAGCCCGTCCTCAATGTTTTAATTTGCATTTGTTATAATTCTGTTCTTAACCAGATTGTCTCAACAAGAAGTATTATTGAAGTGTAACATTTTTTATTCAATCCTAACATACAGGAATATTATATACAATATCAGCCGGTTAAGTGGTCAGTTGTCACAAGTAAACGGATCTTGGGGGGGTGATTTTTAATGATTTATTGAAGTAGTAGTAGTTGAAGTAAATCTTTTGAAAAAGAAAGCAGAACAGAAAGTAGAACACGCGCTGTGGCCTCTCCAAAGGGAAGTTTTCCTTTCATATACTCAAATGGCAGACTAAATATTTTTGTTGTTTGGACATGATATTGGGGAACTGTGAACCGAACTAGGTTCATTGCCAAGGAATTTACCAGATTAATTAATTATTAAAAGTAATATTTCACCTCAACGTGTCTGTTTAGCAACTCGACTTTAATGTCTGATCCTGTGTTTTTCTTTTTTGGGGTATAATTTTAATGTAAGGTAAACACTAAAACACTAAAGTTCCTTCCTGTTTTCCCCCACTCGTGTCTTGCAGGATGACAACAACACAATAGTGTTGGCGACCTGCAAGTGCTTTAGTTCCCCACGCGCTGGATCTCACAGCCCCCTCAAAAAAAAAACCCCATGAGGATACAGGGACAGCCCGAGGGCGCGAGGAGGCGTCTGGATTTAAACTCTGCCGCTGAGCTGAGGGGCGTGGAGGTCATCCGGGGTCGTGCCGGATATGGCTTCACCATCTCGGGTCAAAGGCCTTGCCTGTTGAGCGGCATCATGGAGGGAAGCCCCGCCGACCTGGTGGGTCTCAAACAGGGGGACCACATCATGGCCATCGGCGGAAGCGACGTGTCTACCGCTTTGCACGAGACCGTGGTGCAGTTGATCGGCAGCTGCGAGGGACCCCTGCAGCTGGTGGTGCAGGGCGCGAGCCGCATCATGGCCAACCCCATTCTTAACGACGCAAAATTCGGGACCGGCCCCAAAAGTGGCGTTTTCCAAAAGCCCGCCGTTCTACGCGCTATCTCGCACGATTCTAGCAACTCCTCCTTCAATTCCAGTCACTCTGGAATCGCCAAACCGAGGCCGGTGTCCGAGCCTGACATGTCGCAATGGCCCCAGTGGGGCGGACGCCAGACGAACCCTTTTGCAGAGCAGCGGAAGAAGCAATCGTCCGGGGACACGGACCCCGTGTTCACGGACCAGGCGAATCCAGACTGGAGCACGCTGAACATGACCCTGGTTGTGGGATACCTGAGCTCCACGGAGCTGATTTTGAACCCCACGGAGTCCGAGGAGAGCTGCCTTAAAGCCATCCGGGAGCGAATACGGCTTTTGGGAACCGAGCAGAGCACCCATACTCTGGTGATGATGAAGGTCATGTTCGACTGCGTCCGCCTCTGCGACGACGCGGGGGCCGTTTTGGCCGCGCTGCCTGCCGAGAACCTGGTCCTGGGGGCCGTGTGCGCGGAGGACCCGCGCTTTTTCTGCCTGGTGACCACGGCGCACGTGGTCGACGGTCGCATCCCCGAGGACGGACCTCTGCGGGCCTCCTGCCACGTCTTCTTCATCGACCCCGAGCTGGGAAACCACGAGGACCACATCGGCATCGCCGGGCGCTTCGGCTTCGACTGCACTCCCGATCCCGACGCCTTGGGCTGCCTGGAATTCCCTCTGTCTCCCCAGGACGTGCTGCACTTCGTCACGGTGCTGTACAGCGACATGGGCGAGGCCGTGGAGAGGCTGCGGGTCAAGCTGGACGCGGAGACCGAGCTGCAGGCCAAGGAGATGGGCGACGCGGGCAAACAGGGCAGCGCCAGCAGCAACGGGGACAGCGGGATTGGAAACGCGTCCCCCCCTGGGGAGAGAGCGGACAGGGATTTCCCCTCCGCCGTCCGAGAGCACCCGGGGGCCCACCTCCCCAGCTGCCCGTGGGATTATCCCCGGGCCGAAGACCTCCCCCCAATAAAACTCTCAAAGAGCGGGCAGAAACTGCACAGCGGCAACAGCGGCGGCACACATTCCCTCTCAGAGTCGCTGCCGGGCCCCGACTCCCTTCATAAGTTTTACGGCGGTCCTCCGCCCAGGCTCGAGTTTCAGTTCAAGCCCCCACCGCCTCCCCTGCCTCTAAATAAAAAGGCAAACGTGTTGGGCGACCCTCTCAGAGGTAGCCAAAGGTGGTTCTCAAAGCCCAAGTGGTCCAAAGCCCTAAGCGTTGACCCTGAGCCTCCGCCGAGCGACGAGTGGCCCACCAGCATCGGCCCCGGGACCGGGACCGGCACCGCTAACCCGCCCCCCCCCATGAGCAACATCCCCTCGAACCGGTACCCTTCTGCAGAGGTCATGATGCTCCCTCCCAGACAGGAGTGGACCAAAAGGTTTCTGGAACAGAGAGAGAAACAGCGGAAAGATGACGTTGCCAAAAATGTAAGTAAGAGCCTTTTTTGTTTTTTAATTTAAAACCTTCAGTCGGACTTGAGGTCTGCAATCAACATTGTTCAAGCACCAATTTGGTCTGCGCCCTGTAATCATCTTGTGTGAACATAGCTGTTATGGTTGTGGTCTGCATGAATTCATATACAACTAAAAGCGGTCAGTCAATGCCAGTTTTACATATTTGTGACCCCAATTAGGGGAACCACCTTAAACAATGTAACCAAAGATGCTCACTAACTGCTGCATTTTGAAGATTCACCGTCTAAAAGGGGGAAAAAAAACAACTATTTACCTTTTTTAGAATACATATCCTAGGATGTGGAGTGCCACTGAGCGCGCACATCCTTGCACATCGTGTTTCTTTAGAAGCACGGGCGGGCCGAGACATCTGTTTCTGTGCTTCATTCATGTTTGACACGGCGACACAGGAAGTATTGGGGGGTCAGACTGGAGGTTACTTTCCAGACGCCGAGTGGGCGTCAGTAGGCCCGTTTCTGGTGGAGCGAAATACAATCCGCCTTTTCTCAGCGTCACCGGTTTTGAGTCAATGATGTCATTGTCATAAACACACACACACACACACACACACACAGAGGGAGAGAGATTTTATTGTTATGTCACCGATCCTCGCTGCCCACAAGATGGCCCTCTCCACACACCCCACGGAAACAAACAGCCCCCCGAGATCCGTGATGTGCAAGCAGTTTCTTTTTTTTTAGGTGACATGTTTGCAAACCTGCCGGGAACGGAAAATTTTAATTCTGGTAATTTAAGGTTCGGCCCCGGTTTAACCTCGGGTCATCTCTTAGTTTTGCTACTCCATCATCTATTCTATGTGGTATATATTTCTTTATCTTCTTTTTATTTTCTTTCAGTCAAACTGTTTCCAGGTGTTGACAGGTGTTGGTTTAACGTCCTTGTTTGGATGTGGCCATGCTAATTATTGTTTGCTGACATTTATCTCCTCCCCGTTCTATTTCTAACATCCGCATCCAAACAAGTGTCACGGTGCCGGGTGGACATTAAACAAACATCCGTCAACACTTGGGAATATATGTTGCTTTTCACACCATTTATTAGTGTCCCGCATTAGTCCTGAAAGACTTCCAAAGGAAACCAGGCAAATTAAAGGGTAGAGCCCATGTCTTGCAGCGGCAATTATCTGCAATTCTCTGACAAACATTAATCTCAGACCCTCCAGTTTTAGGAATGAGATGTGGTCGGAGAGGCAGGAAGCTACGGTGGTCTGACGTTGTTTTGTTTAACTTTTTTTTTACAGTGAAATCAATGTTGTTGGGTTGCTTCTGTAAAGGGTTGTAGTAGTAGAGGTAAACTTTATCAACCAGCTTGTTGTCAAAGACGACCTTGTGCCATCATATGTAAATATGAGTCACCTGTTACTGGTAATTCACCCACACCATTGATTTGAATAGAATTTCATTAACTCGGACAAACAGTCCATTGTTTCCTGATGAAATACGAGGATACGGCGGTTGGATGTTATTGCTCATGCGTTCCTGCTTTATTCTCACAGGGCTCCAGGTTTTGGGGCATGGGAGTCACCCGGGCCTCCAAACGCCGGGCTTCCAAGCGGATGAGCTTGGCGAGGTCTCTGGATGACCTTGAGGTAGGAAACGCGTTGCATTTCTTTTTATTTGAATTATCTTCTGCACCCCCCACCCCCCACCGATTTTATTTGCATCATAGCGTTCACATGTAAGTTTTTTTGCGTATGTCTTTTTTTTCAAAATGCAAAAAACATCAGTGGTTTTCAAGCGGTCTGCTACGTTAGCGCGTACTTTCAGTCAACTTCGCCATGCGGCTCCACTTTCAGCCCTTGGTTTCCGTGGCCTTGAACTGTGCGTTTTGCTGCTAAACTTGTGGCACGGGGCTGGTGGGGGGGGAGAGACTCACAAAGTGGTCTTTGTTTGCACCAGAGGCGCGGCCCTGTTTGTTTGGCCTCGCTAATGACCGCTGCTGAACCACCGAATATATATCGGGCTCGCATTTAGTCATATCAATGTTTCCGGGGGAACTTTCTCCCTCTCTCTATCTTCTCGCCCATTGCACACGAAATTCTGACTTGTATTCAAACACACAAAATGTAATGCGCAAACAGGCCAATTCCCGCGTCTTGTAATTGCGCCAAAAAGCAGACGAACGGAGCCGGAAAGGGACCGAATGCCGCATTGTGTAGAGCAGACTTACCCCGAGACCCCACGTGGTACTCGGTTCTTACCTAGATAACATATATATAGTTCTGGATAATTACCCCTCGCCGTGTTTCTGTCTCTGTCCCGTCATGCTGTTTTTAATTCAGTCCCCTGGCTTACAAACCCAATAGCACGCGCCCATTGGTGGACATTAAGCGGCCGCTTTGAAACGCGTAGTCTCGCGCGCGCGGAGCTCTCGGTTACATAATGTGTCGTGCGCGGTGGGAAACCTGCGCCTCACACACCTGCAGCTGCGAAAGAGTCCATTATGTCGGTCTATCGATCGTGTCGTTCCGTTTCCCCACGGGGACAACCGCTTTGATAAGGACACAATGTCCCTGCACACAAGTCATTTTTAACCCGAGTGGTTTTTAACTCGCGCTGGGCCAAAGCATTCCGGGTGATAACACCACGGGGGGGGGGGGGTACGTCGATCCCGCGTGAGGAGGAAGGTCTACAGGGGGTCCACGTCGTTTGAGGTCTCGCTGGACTTGTGCGTGGTTTGCCAGGATTTGGTAAAACTGTCGTCACGGCAACTTTTGCAAAAGGAAGAAAGATAATGGCCAACAGCCACTGCGGGTAAACCCCCGCGTGGCGCCGCCGCGTGTGGCCGCGGTGCGCAGGAACGAGCACGTGCGTGTTATTCTGACACTTGAGGGAGGGAGGGAGAGGGAGAGAGAGAGGAGGGAGGGAAGGAGGTGGGAGCAGAGGGAGGGACCGACAGAGAGACAGACAGAGGGAGCAGCGGAGGCAGCGACACGGAGCTTCTGAACTCCCCGCAGCAGGGAGGATTTCTCGGCTCTCTTCCCCACGGTTGAGCCGCGTCTCCCCCCGCGCGGCAAATACCGACTCCTCGCTCGCTCGCGCGCACTCACGCACGCGGATGGACCGGTCCACGCGCAGCTGGCGCATGGAGCGGCGCTGAGGACGGAGCCACACACACGCCGCGCGCGCGCGCGCACACACACCGCGGCGTCCACATGGAGCACAATCTGACCCTCGGCTCTGTAAGTGTTTCCACGAAGATCCCCGAGTCTTCACTGTTGTTGTTATTTTTAGATCTGACTTATTTTCTTCGCCCCCCCCCCCCCTTTACCCTTTCCCCCACCATACCCCCCCCCCCCCCACCTCAGGGGGTCACCGTATCCTTCTTTGGGCTCTTTTGTCGCTCCCGCCGCAGCCTCCTCTCCGAGCCGCGCACACTGGGCAGCTTGTGCGGGCTGTCAGAGGAATGTTTTGACCGGTGCCCGCTGAGCCCTCGCGTGTTGCATGACACTCACGCTCACGAACACACAAACACACACACGCGCGAACACACTGCGTGGCTCTATACAGAACCACCCCCCCCCAAAAAAAGTCTCTATATCAGCGTCTCCATCTGGACGTGCGCTGCCTTTGAAGTGAACCCCAGATTACACCGAGTCCACTGAGCCGTCTCTCCCTGACAAGTGATCTCCTTTTGTGGGCTTCTTGGCCCTCACTTGGCGGCCTCCAGAGAAGTTCCATTCGGTGTGAGGTGGAGGGGGGGACGGGTCACAGGTTTTCGGTGGTCAGTTTGGAACGCGATCCTGAGCTCAGCCTCTCGTGCATGGTCTCCTGAGGTGATCCCTTAAATCAAGTTTTGTTTGAACTTGCCTGTGGCCCCTGTCCAGGCACGTCCCCACCCTGCTCTGATTCACCAGCCCTCTTAATCACTTTGTCTCGAGAAGGAGACGTCGTGTCTTTTCTCGGTGCTGCATGACTACTGTGTGACCTTTTTGGTTGCGGCGGTGCGATACAACCGGCCCCTCTTCCCCTCTGGCCCTCGTACCTTCAACTACAACTCTCATTAATACCCTGCCAGCCGCCAAACGTAGACGCCGTCCTTCTGCGCGCGGTTCTTGTACGATCTTTGGGAGAGATGAGCAGGAACCGCGTGTTTTCCGCGGCGAAACACGACGCGCTTTCATCTGTCTGACATCACCGGGCCGGCTCTGGAGTGTGGGTGGACGGTTGCGCGCTCAGGAGAAGGGTCCTCGGGCGAGCAGTATAGAACGAAAAGTACCAAGCAGCTTGGCTTTTTTTCTCAAAATGTCTCCAGAATGTTTCCTTCTCTTTTTTTCTCTTCTCCTGCTACCGTTTAAAAAAAAAAGAAGAAAAAAAAATCTATTGCAATTACGTCTCTCTCCAAACCCACCGACAGGGTGTTAATGGTATATTAACACAACTGAACTTCAATAGAAAGTTCTTTAACTGTCCAGCTGAATAATGTAGCAGCCAGTAACCAGATCACCAGATGTGTCTGTGGTTGCTGACTTGACCAAAACTGTCCCCCACGGAAAAAATACCCGCCCGCCTCGGCAGCTCCACTCGGCGGTCGCCCCACCAACGCTACGACATCGTCTATCGACATTCAGGATTCCGATTCTTTTCATATATCTATATAAATATATTTTTACTCACATGATCCACAACTTGGTTGGGTGATTCATTCCCTGCACGCTGTTTACCTTCCCCAATCGAACTGATATTATTCCCCCGCTAAGGCGGGTCGGCTGCCAAGGGCGTGGAGGTTACTCAGCGAGCAACGGCTCGGGAAGGGGGCCAAAGTCTCTTACCACCTCGCGGGAGACGGTTGGGACATGTCTGCGGAGAGACGGGGGGGGGGGGGGGGGGGGGGGGGCGCTCAAACTCTTCAGACCACGGTAGCCGTACATGTGGCGTCTGTCAGGCGTTGAGCAACGAGGCCTGTAGCCCTCGGAGAGGGAATGTAGTCGGTATGTTTTAGACCTTTTCTTGGGGGGGGCTCGTGTCGGCACAGGTTTCCAGCGGAGCCAGGCCGAAGCCTCGTCTACCTCGCACTGTGTGAAAGTGGTAAACATGAATGGGTTTGACTCGGAGTGTGATTTATTGTTTCTGCACATGTGCATGTGATTCATCCACATCCAGAAATACGATCCATCCGTCCATGTGGCTCGGCTGCTGGTTGCCTTTAGGTGGAAAGGGAACTGATGCACATTGTTTGTGTTCGCACCACCGTGCGTTTCTGGTACTTCTAAAAGGCAGTTGATTTAAAAAAAAAAAAATGGTTGCCTTGAAATGCAAATGATGCAGTGGCGGTTTGCATGCAATACATGTTGCACATGTTTGTGGCAGGAGTCCCGTGCCAAATACCCACAAAGACAAAATGATTGATCGTGTTGTGCTCGGCCTTGGGGGCTATAAACCCCCCTCAACCGGCTCGGGTTCCCTGCATGACCAAAAGTATCACCGGTGGGGGCGTGAGGTCATTGGGAATTACGCAGGAAGTCAACAGTTGTGGATTTCCTTTGTCACTGGCGACATCGAGCCCCCGCGCACTTCCAGGAAAGCAGATGTTTCTTCTATGCCAACGCCAAACGTACGCCCGGAGGTTTTTCTAAACGCCGTGCGTTAGGCTTCCGTGTGAGTCGCTCTGGTGTGAGAAATAAAAACCGACCTCGCAGAGCTAATTGCACGTGTCTGGTTTCAGGATGGAAAGTCCGTTTCTGGTGTGTTTTTCTTAACGGAGGAGGAAAAGTGGCAGCAACAGGGTGTGGCCGTGTCTGGTGTGGTTGAGCCACCTCGGGCCCTTTCTCTGTGATAATGAATTGAGACGGGAGGGGCCGCGGCCACCGGTTCCAGTTTCCTTGTGTGCGGTTCTATTTTTTTAATTTTTTTTGTGTAGCTGAGCCATGTAAATCCGATACTTTGTATTTGATTCCAGCGCTTCCTCCGACAATAACTACGTATTCCTCGCGCCCTTCTCGGACCTGACGTGAGCCGCACAGGTTCAGGCAGAGTTTAGCCAGATCAGAATTTACATTGTCGTCATCAGTCGGGCAGAGAGAACTTTTATTGCTTTGTGCTCTGCGAGAAGTAGATTGGCAGAGGGGGGGTGGAGGGTAGGGGGGTGGAGGTAAACACTCTCCATCCAGAATGGAGTTCAAGAATTGAAGTGCTCCCTGTCAGCAACAAGTGGTGGACACACACACACACACACACACACACCACATACAGGCGGCTCTAAACAAATCATAGTGATGCCACTTTGGTCCGGGCGGGAGCAGAGCCCGACCCATCTGCCGGGGCTCACCGGGGGAAGTTGGGGAAACGGGCAGCAGATTACCACTGAGGACGGGGATTAGGGGGTGAATCGCATCGCGGCGACGGCCTCTTTCTGCATGCAAATCACTCGACCTCTTTAAAGACACTCAGTGTGTTTACATGGTGGTATAATTGGAAGCTTTGCTTAGTCGGACTATGCTATCTTTCGGGGGGAGGTGCTATTATCCCAATATACATGGCAGTGAATAAATCGAATCATTGGCCGAAAGCACGTCATACCTGATACGATAGGTGGCGCTGTTTTCATTACAACTAGTTGTGATGCAGCCATTTCAGCTTGACCGCTTCACCACTACCAACAACAACAACAACATCAACATTACTGAGAAAGATGGCGAACGGAGAGCAAGGTGAAGCTACATCCCTCTACTATGTGTGCATGATGTTAATAAGAGCACAGCGAATGGCGCTATTGGCTGATTTGATACGCCGTCGGGATCTCAAGCATGCGCAAAGACGCAAAGTCCAGTTCCTTATCCGATTCACCGCTACATGCCGCAATAGTCGAACTATCAACCTGGATCGGATCGAGTTATCCAGGGGTGTTAGTCGGATCGTAGTCGGGCCGCACATAGTCGGACAAAGGTGTTTACATGAAACGGATCATTCGATTTCAGTCTGACTAAGCCAGTTATTCGAATCCATGTAACCACGCTGACGGAGAACAACCCATTTGTTGGCTGAAGGGATTACGTTTAAAAGTCTGGACTGTTACAGGGAGGGGAGGAGGGGTATTTTAGGGTTTGATTGAAGATTTCTGTTTAGAAATTTGATTCACATACATTTTTTTTAATAGAAATTTTCAATTTAAAAATTGAGTCGCGACTCAACTCCTGGAATGTGGACACATCTGGACAGCTCGACAAGATTCAGAATTTCTACACTGGGCCCAAAATGATCCTTGATGAATGTAAATCTGAGCCTTGAAATGATTTTTTGAATGATGATGAGTAAATGTTTACTTGTTTTCAATGCTGGTGAGACAATAACGGCATTGGACCTTTTCTTGATATAAAAGCAAAAGGGCGAATCGCACGGCAAGGCCACAAGTGACAATAACATGGCGTCCGCAGGGGACTCGATATCACAGCCCTCGATCTGCGGTCACAATGCAGATAGCAGATCTAAGGGGACGACGATAACGTCCGCTTTGTTTACCTTCCCCGGCCGCTCCGCTCTCCCTCGAGCACGCTGACCTCATCACATCACATTGTGCGAGCGCCCCGACAGATGCGTCGCGACGGACCACCCCCCCCCCCTTATAGATTCCGTCACGGTGCGTAATCTGGAGTTCTCTAACATCAGCCTCTCTCTCTCTCTCACACACACACACACACTCTTTGCTCGCGTCTTATCAGCCGTCACGCCCTCGCCGCTCTCCGCCTCAAACGGGAAGTGCCCTCCGATGCGACATTGCTGTGTTATTGTCAGGGGAGCTGGGGGGGTAGTTTTGTCGCAGATAGCGGGGACCCAGATTGTTTTGTTTTTTTCCCCTCCCCGCTCCGGAAGGCCTGGCGGAGAACTCGACATTCGATTTCGTGATGTCTTGTGACACGTGGGGTCTTTCCAGGAAGACAAAAAGGTCGGCGGATGAATTGAACCCAAAGTGACGGAGGGGGGGGCTCGGAGCTCACGTGGAGCCGGTTTGCTTTGCCGAGGCCGCGGACTCCTCGATCAGCCGCCCTGAAGCAGAGAAAGGCCTTTTTTTAAGGGGGGGGGGTTAAAGATTTCAAAGATGCTCTACCTCTGGGAGGTCAAAGGGCGAGAGCCGTTGGACCTGGTGTGTTTTGCAGCATGCTTTCTTTTTTCTACTCTTTCATGACCTACAAGACGTCATTTGCTAACGTCATCAACACATGACAGACGCCCACTTTCCCCATTGACAGACCACGTGAACGTCCAATTCAACATGAGAATCCGCCATGAAAAAAAAAACCTTAAAGCGTAAATGAATGCCGCGCCTCATCCATTATCCCCGGGCAAAATGATGACGAAAGCGCGGCGGGTTCACGCGAAAAACGTCTGGAGTGAGCCAGCGAGGGCCTCGAGGAAGGCAGTTGGCCCAGCAGGAGAGGAAACGTGGGGGCTCAGTGCGGCGGCGGAGGCAAAGAGGTGATGCCAGAGTTTGTTTCTATCAGATAAATTCTGAGAAAACACCCCAATTGCTAAAATGTAGGGGTGGGATGGGGGGATTGGTGGGGGGGGGGGGGCTCGGTGCACGCTGGCTAATGGCGCGCAGAGTTCAGGCCGTGGGCGAGCAAACTTTTTATTTTCATTAAGACGATATTCATCTGCTTTCCATTTGAACTCACTGGGTATTACTTCTCTCCCTCTCTCTCTCTCTCGTGCCCCGACTGGAAACAGAAGGGGGGGGCGGGCGGAGGGGCACTGTGGTATTCAACATGCCCAGTGTGTGTGCGTGTGTGTGTGTGTGTTTGTGTTTGTGTCGAAGGACAATCTGGGGGAGGTTAATTCATCCGATTCCTTCATGCCGCTGTGGCAGAGGCTGTATGTATTGTCGGGCGCGTCACCACGGCAACAGCTGCGGGCGTAAGGAAATCCCCCCCCCCCTCCTCTTCATCTCCCTTTCTGTCCAGTGCCTTGTCAAATATCTTCTCCCTCCCTCCCTCCCTCCCTTCCTCTCTCTCCCTGACTTGTACAGACATGGTTTGCGGAGTTTTGGGTGGGGAATGTTCAGGTATGCGTTCACACACACACACACACACACACAGCTTGTCTGTGTGCTGTGTAGCCGACTGGGGCAACAATGAGTCTCAAAAAGAGACTTTCCTTCAAGAGGACTTGGAACTTCAACACCGTAAGTAAACTGTGATTCGCCCAGCGAGCCTCCTCTCCCTCCTCCGACTCCCTTCCTTCAGTCAGCTGCTTTTCTCATTAATCTCCCCCGATGGTGCTCGTCTCTCTGCCCCTCAGAACAGCTGTTTGGAGCGGCGGGGACTCGTGGTTGTTTTTGTTTCCCGGGATGCTGGAATCCGCCTTGACTTGTGTGGAAGTTTATTTATTTATTTATTTATTTTTTATCTGACTGTCGCGAACGTGTTTTTTTTTTTTTTTTCTTTTTTTTTTGAGGGAGGGAGGATGAGTAAACAAGTCCAAATGGTAAAAAGACATCCCTTTTTATTAGAAATGCACGGTGTGAGGGGTGTCAATGGGTGTCGTTACCATTCGTGCCCTTCAGAGAATTTGACCCCCGGCACGTAGCGCGCTCACTCCAGAGCACACGCGTGAATCCGTCTCCGCTGAGATTCGTCTGCGTTCCTTCTGCATGCGGTGTCTCGGGATGCCAGACTGTATGGCGTGGCGTGGCGTGGGTGGGTGGAGCGGGAAGGAGTGGGTGGGGCGTGCGGGGGGGGGGGTCGGGCTGTACCACACGAAACCTGGCAGCCAAATCCTGCTCCGTTTCGGGGCGACTCGCTGTGATTGTCCAATCTGGCAGCAGCACCACGTGGACGGCTCACGGAGGGGGTCCCGGCCGTGAAATGGGATCCTTGAGTTCAGCCGCCTATGGTCGGGATCAAAGCGGGCTCCGTGGTACCGCCGAGACGCCGCGGGTGTCGGCGGGGGACGGCGGACAGGAGGTGACGGCGGGCCCTCATCGCGGGGCACTTGTAGGCGAGGAGGTAATAACAAGTGTGTGTGTGTGTGTGTGTGTGTGGTCTATCATACACACAGACACGCAAACACCACGCTGCATGTCTGCCGTAGTTACCCGCTCAACTTTAATCAGCGGGATGCTCGACCGCCGTGATGTTTTCCTTTGTGGGACGTTTTCACCACATGTTTGTCCTTGTAGGTTCGTTGGTCAACCTAAACAGCCAAACGTTCGGTTACAGTTTTTTATAATTGAATGTGTTTTGTTTTTTGGACCATTTTTTTCGGATTCGCTCCAGCGGTGGAAACTGATATTGCCAAATGCCCGGCGGGGGACACAACCCCCGCGTCAGTGTTTTGCAACATGTCCTTTGATTCAGACGCTGCAGGCTGCATACCGACCTTTAACAAACTTATTGGTCATCAACATGATTCTCCTCTGACACTCTGCCCCTTTGCATACAACACTGTTACTTAACCCTGTGTGTGTGTGTGTGTGTGTGTGTGTGTCAGGAGGGCGTTGAACCCCTCCCGCTCTGATGACACGTCTGCGAGTAAGAAGAATATCTGTCACATTTCTCATACTATTCTTCTCCGTCCAAAACTAACGTCCACGTCCCGTTGTGTGTGTGTGTGTGACGTCCGTCTGGTTTCTTTTTAAAAGGAAACCGAAAAGGCCGATCTTTTTTTAAAGCTTTGAGGTGGGTCTGTTTTGTGTGTTCCACCTTCTGTTTGGGCTTCGTGCGCAGGTCCCCGTCCCTCCCCACCCACGATCACGGCACACACGCCAGCCACCGCAGGAGGGATGGCCCTTTGGGTGTCGACTGCATCGCGGGTCAGCGGCAAAGAGGCCGCAACGGGCCATTAGTGGCGGTGGTTTGGTGGCTCTTTTACATGTGGTCGCTCCCGAAATGGAACAGAGCCCTCCCCCCTTCTCCAACCCACGCAAGAGGCCTTGGCCTCTTCCTCCTGTTCCCTTCTGCTGGTCTCCGTTGTTTGTGACATGGCGGCATTATGCAATCCCGCTAAAGTACAAACCGTGTTCCGCTCCCGGCGAGGGACTCGTTGAGACGCATCATCAGCCTCGGATATTCACACTTTGAAACGGAAAAAGCACTCGTCTGGAAATAGTCCCCCCCCCCCCCCCCCCCCCCCGCGCACCCCTCCACCTTTTCAGATGAATCCACCAACGCGCCGTTTCTTTTCTTTTTTGTTTGTTGTTTAGTTCTTGGATCGAACCCTGAGATGCGCCTCTCATATCCTCCCCTGCGTTTAAAAATATCTGCGACAGCAGCTTAACAGTTCGGGCTTCAAATCACAATATCGCTGTGTACATGTTGCATGTTTTTAGAGGAGCCCCAATGTTGAGGCCGGGATTTCGTGCAGTCGTCCTTTTTTTATTCACGGGACGTCTACGCATGCATAAACTCCTCCCGGCTGGAATTAGCAAGTAAAAAGAGCCCCATTGTGCCCAGCGATGGCCTCTGAAGTAGCTGTGCCTTGATGAGCTCCGGTCTTTGTGATTGCAGTAAGCAGGAATGCACACATTCAGGGCTCCGAGTGTGAGTGTGAGTGTGTGTGTGTGTGTGTGTGTGTGTGTGTGTGTGTGTGTGTATACTGGTGTGGAGGTGTGAACAGCTGTGTTTGGTTGATGTTGAGGGTCCACCCACTTACAAAAGTCTTGTGAAGATCCAACACTTTTTCAAGAGCACTCACACGCTCCCGCCTAGAGACCACAAGGACACACACCTCAGAGATCGACCGGTGGGACGATCGGTGGGACGTCGCTTATCCTCAGCTTCTTGTCGCGGCACAGGGATGTCACGATGGCAGCTGCTCACTT